TCTGAGCCCTTGGTATTTCTCCAGCTTCTCGTGTTCCTTCTTCCTGATATTGCTGTCATTCGGAACCGCTACATCGATCACTACGGCCGTCTTCTTCTGTTTGTCTACCACCACTATGTCCGGTTGGTTAGCCACCACCATTTTGTCCGTCTGTATCTGGAAGTCCCACAGGATCTTAGCTCGGTCATTCTCCACCACCCTTGGGGGCATCTCCCATTTTGACCTCGGGACTTCCAGGTTATACTCGGCACAGATGTTCCTGTACACTATGCCGGCCACTTGGTTATGGCGTTCCATGTATGCCTTGCCTGCTAGCATCTTGCACCCTGCTGTTATGTGCTGGATTGTCTCTGGAGCATCTTTACACAGCCTGCACCTGGGGTCTTGCCTGGTGTGATAGACCCCAGCCTCTATGGATCTTGTGCTCAGAGCTTGTTCTTGTGCTGCCATGATTAGTGCCTCTGTGCTGTCTTTCAGTCCAGCTTTGTCCAGCCACTGGTAGGATTTCTGGATATCAGCCACCTCCTCTATCTGCCGGTGGTACATACCGTGCAGGGCTCTGTCCTTCCATGATGGTTCCTCGTCTCCCTCCTCTTTCTTGGGTTTCTGCTGCCTGAGGTATTCACTGAGCACTCGGTCAGTTGGGGCCATCTTCCCAATGTATTCTTGGATGTTCGTTGTCTCATCCTGGACTGTGGTGCTGACACTCACCAGTCCCCGGCCCCCTTCCTTCCGCTTAGCGTACAGCCTCAGGGTGCTGGACTTGGGGTGAAACCCTCCATGCATGGTAAGGAGCTTTCTTGTCTTTATGTCAGTGGCTTCTATCTCCTCCTTTGGCCAGCTTATTACCCCAGCAGGGTACCTGATCACGGGCAGGGCGTACGTGTTGATGGCCCGGATCTTGTTCTTACCATTCAGCTGACTCCTCAGGACTTGCCTGACCCTCTGCAGGTACTTGGTGGTTGCAGCTTTTCTAGCGGCCTCTTCATGGTTCCCATTCGCCTGCGGGATCCCCAAGTACTTGTAACTGTCCTCTATGTCTGCAATGTTGCCTTCTGGTAGTTCAATCCCCTCAGTTCTGACTACCTTCCCTCTCTTTGTTACCATCCGACTACACTTCTCCAGTCCGAACGACATTCCAATGTCATTGCTGTATAGCCTGGTAGTGTGGATCAGTGAATCGATGTCTCGTTCACTCTTGGCATACAGCTTGATGTCATCCATGTACAGGAGGTGGCTGACAACTGCTCCGTTCCGTAGTCGGTATCCGTAGCCAGTCTTGTTAATGATCTCACTGAGGGGGTTCAGGCCTATGCAGAACAGCAGTGGGGACAGAGCATCTCCTTGGTAGATCCCGCACTTGATGGTGACTTGTGCTATGGGCTTGGAGTTGGCCTCTAGTGTTGTACGCCACATCCCCATTGAGTTCCTGATGAAGGCTCTTAGGGTCCCATTGATCTTGTACAATTCTAGGCATTCCAGTATCCAGCTGTGGGGCATTGAGTCATAGGCCTTCTTGTAATCAATCCAGGCAGTGCACAGGTTGGTCAGTCTGGTCTTGCAGTCTCGGCTGATTGTTCTGTCTACCAGTAGCTGGTGTTTTGCGCCTCTGGTATTCTTGCCAATTCCTTTCTGTGTCCCGCTCATGTATTGACCCATGTGCCTGTTCATCTTAGCCGATATGATGCCTGACAGGAGCTTCCATGTAGTACTGAGGCAGGTTATTGGTCAGTAGTTGGAGGGGACCGGTCCCTTCTTGGGGTCCTTGGGGATCAGGACCGTCCGGCCTTCAGTTAGCCATTCCGGGTGTCTCTCGTTAACTAGCAGCTGGTTCATTTGTGCTGCCAGACGCTCGTGGAGTGCAGATAGCTTCTTCAGCCAGTAGGCGTGAACCATGTCGGGCCCTGGTGCTGTCCAACTCTTCATACTAGAGACCCTTTCTTGGATATCTGCCACTGTGATGGTTACTTGACCCTGTTCAGGGAGGTCGCTGTGGTCTGCCCTCAGATCCTCTAGCCACTGAGCATTGCCGTTATGGGTTGCATCCTTCTCCCATATGCTCTTCCAGTATTGCTCCGTCTCCAGCCTTGGTGGTGCTATTCTCTTATTGTTCCCTTGCCACTGAGAGTACACCTTTGCTGGTTCTGTGGAGAACAGCTGGTTTATTCTCCTGCCTTCTATCTCTCTGGTGTACCTCCTCAAGCGGCTGCTTGATATATATATATATATATATATATATATACATATATATATATATATATATATATATATATATATATATATATATATATATACATACATATATATATATATATATATATATGTATATATATATATATATATATATATATATATATATATATATATACATATATATATATACATACATACATATATATGGCCAAATAAGTAACTATTGTGCACAACCTCTGTTTCCTGATATTTCCTGTTTTTCTGACATAATCTCATATTTGATGTTTTATATTTTATGTTTGAAGAACATGACTGAAGGTTTAAATCATTTCAACTCTAAGCAAAGTACTAAATCTACTTGACACCGCAAGCATAAATCATTAGCCTGTCCATCCTACACCTAATTAAACATTTGCCCCTGTGCCATCAACACTAAATGAGTGGTCAGAGGTAGTGGCCAGTTAAGGTCAGAGTCCTATGTTTTTTTCTTGTCCCATGTTCACACACTCGAATGGACTGGGTGCATGCCGTGCAGCAATCCTCTAACTATAAATAGCAACCAGTGTCATGGGCAATCTGGATAGCGTGTAAATGTAGACCCTTCCCCCCTCCCGGATGTTCCGTTGAAGTTACCAACCTGACCTCTGACCCAAGAGCCTGGCTGCGACAGGGCCACCGCTGAACTTGAATTTCAGGGTTTCGAATGCAAGCGTGAAAACACAAAAACACATGAGCAATCTTCAAGTACAGTGCATGCACACATGCAAAAAGACACAGTCTAAAAATGCAGAATCTGAAACAGTTTGAGACAGGTAGCAGTTCAAATATGTCACCCGAGGTCCTGAATACTTGCTGCATTCAGTCACTGTAAGAAAGACGTAAGCTGAAAGATCAACTGACTGTTCAGCTTCTTTGTCTCTCAAACAAGGTGCCTATAGAAGCACTGCAAAAAAATAAAACAAGACAATCTTCTTCTACATTCCTATGGTAATATGTAATCATAAAGCTGCATGCAGTTTTCCAGAGATTTTTAAATTGACTGCATTTGGAATAAGGTGATTAGGTAGAGCGCTCACACGGGTTCCCACAGACTTATCCAGTGTCTCTGCCCCTGCCAGAGTTATGTGATAGACCGGGGGGGTAGGAGGAGTGGCTGACATGCATAAATGAGGACAGGGGCAACTGATCTTCAAGGTATGTCAGTCAACACTCTTGGGATATCTGGTGCACTGCACCACAGAAGACCTCAGCCTACAAACGTAACAACATTGTTCCTGATCTGTGATTCCTCTCGTCTCATTTTTGCGTCCAATAAAAGTTTTGTTTGATACCAAAAGAGCCATAAACATGTTACAATAAGAGCTGTGTTGAAATAAATAGAGAGTGATAAATTAAAATGTACATGAGCAGTGTACAGCTTGGGTTGCAAAAAGTTACTGCATAACAGAAAATATGCTTCAGTGAGAGCAGCGTTCAGCATCAACAAATCTCAGTGTCCACTGAGATTAGTCACCATATAAAAGTATGGGTTGACCAGAAGTCCAGTGAATCTATGCTGACTTTAAAACTCAAGGCAAAATTAATGCTGACAGTCAGAATCCCACCTTCAATCAATCACACCATCACCTGCAGCATTTCTGTCCTCAGATGTCTTTTGCCCATCACATGAAACGGAAGCACACACAACAAACTAAACTTCACACACTTAATGACACACAGGTCTTTAAATATCAAAACACACATGGAATCTACCATGGATTCCTTTTTTTGTGACAGTGCTGTATCTAAAATGTGCAAAAGTCACAATACTAAAGAGCAACACGTTAAACAAAACACTTGGTTGTAACTTATTTTAAGTGCAAGCTGTTGTCACATGCTGGAATGCAGATCATTTTCAAAACAAGTGACACTTAACAGAAAGAGCAGAGAAAGGCACATCTGGATGTAAAAGCCACAAGCTCATTTAATCATTGCCATCATCTTGTTTTGCATTGTCTGCTCTGTACTGGCTTTTCTTTTTGTGCCATGCATTTATTTTAATATTCTTATGTGTGGTAGTTTTTATATATATATATATATATATATATATATATATATATATATATATATATATATATATATATATATATATATATACATATATATATACATATATGTAACTAAGGAGGAACACCAAGACCGGCATTTGATATTTGATTTTTGATGTTTTTTTATATATTCAAAATATAGCTTTTTGGTATAACTTATGCACATAATGCATAAAGGAGTAGGTTTACTGTAATGTATTTGCTTTGAGCTATATGACTTTGGCCCTGGAGATACAGCAGAGATGTGTGATAAATAACAGGTGCCTCATTTCATTTTGTAACCAGCAAAACTAACAAATTGTCAAAAACCATTTTAATCCCTGCAAAGTCTGTAGAGCCAGTCAACAAGTGACATAATTATTTGTCATTAAAAATAGAGGAAAAAAACATATTTGGCCATTGTGGTAATGAGCCCAAAGATAACGCGCACCCACGCCCCAAAACAAAACAAAAAACAACGACAAAAAACCCACCAAAACAAAATGAAATTAAATTTGTATTTATTATTTTAATTGCTTGAAGCTTGAATAATTTGGAATATAATTGATCCTAAATGTTTGAACGCTTCTTTCATGATTTCACCATCAGTCCTTGACATTACCCTTTGCTTTTCATTGAAACACCCGGGGATCTCATTTGGATGAGGTATGGCATGTTCCCCGACCTTGCCATTTCCAATAGACGCTCCTCGCCGTCTACCAAACCAAGAGTTGAGAAGTGTGCTCAGACTTTACGCATGGAGAGCGCAGGGAGAGTCTGGGAGCACGCATGGGGGTCCCTCCCTTCCAGGCTGCCCGTGGCCTCCTCACCCCGGCGGGCACTTCCAAGACTCTGCCAGGCCCCCTTGATCCCCTATTTCCCCCTCTCTACCTTTCCTCTGAAGAAACTACCCGGCGTTACGTCAGAAAGTGCAGGACAAGCAAGACAGCGTCTTATGAGCTATTCGCAGGCATTGCTGCCAAACCCTACTTGAGGCTGCCTAAGAGCTCACTGCACCCAATGCTATTTACAAATCCAATCCTTTTAAAACATCAGCAGTATGTGGTAAGTCCGTTATTCATTCATATCATTTTATTTCTGCGCTGGGCTTTTTTTTTCTCACAGCTTTCCTCACATGACAGGTCTCTGTTGCCGGCACAATTGCGCAAAAACCCAAAACAGCAGTGTAAACCGTGTAATGATAAAGAGTAGAATGGTTCACACTGTAGCTTCACTGAAAACACCATGACATGATGAAGCAACAGATGATTTTGACGCTCAGAGATTTCTGCAGCATTTTTACTCTTTGACTCTTTGCTGATCTCAAAAACAACATGCCCCACGCTCGAAATAGGAACCCTAGCCCCATCCCAGAGGTAACATGGGATACGGGATTGAAGGAGATGAACGAGACCTGGAAAGGAGCGATAGCCTGTCTCGGGGTTGCCGTCTTCTTCGTAATGACCATCGGGATCATATACTGGCAAGTGGTGGACCAGCCCAACAAAAACTGGATCCTTAGGGGAACTTTCAGCGGACTGATTTGGGAGAGAAAAACCCACTCGCTGCTCATACAGACCCTGACTGAGGATAAGACCTACGTGGAAATTGACGTCGGGAACGTAGGGAACCCCGATATAGAGATTCCCTTCGTGAGGAACCTGTGCTGGCTCAATAAGACCGAGTTCTGCTATACCTGGGACTCGGTGGCCGAGGTGAAGATCTCGCTCGAAGCGAATGAGGATACGGAGACGGAGTGTTACAGCATGACTTGGGCACCGGTACACTGTCATGTGGAGCTGAAGGTAATGTTTCTCTTTATGTGCACACGAAATACACAAATCACAGCAAAATGTGGAGTGCAAACCCAGTTTTGCACTTTCTTCAGGCTAGGAACATTAATGTCCCCCTTTGTAGTTTGTAGTTTGCGGAATGACATTGCCTTGCTTTGATAACAGCCTATTTCTGGTGCACAGTGTGCAACAATTTATAAGCAGGTCCCTTTGCAAAGTTTCTCCGTCAAATATTATAGAATAAGAACTTTAAAAGTATATATTTTATATCAATAATCAAGAAGAAAAAATGTATTTCACTCACAATCTGTTTATATAACTTATTAACGGAAAAGAGAAGCTTTCAAAATGGTAGAAATCTCCTTTTAGAAAAAGTTAAATGTGTTTCTTGCGGCATACGTGATTATCGTTTTCAAAAAACCGGATAAATGTTTTAAATTTGTATAAATTTTTTTAAATTTAACTGGATTTTTATATTGATCTCCAGTGTATGGCCACGGAATTATGTTAAACTACGTGAAACAAACATGTGCACATACAGTGTTCTTTTCCTCCATTTTAAAATGTATTTATCTGCATATTTGTCACACTTGGTACTTGTTTCAGATAATCAAGCTAGTTTTACAATTTCACATATTTTAGACAAAGATAACATGAATAAATGCAAAATACAGTTTAAAATGATGATTTTATTTATTAAGCACAAAAAATGTGTGGCAAATAACAGTTGTTCAAACCTACCTGGCCTTATGTGAAAAAGTAATTGCCCCCTAAACCTAATAACTGCTTGTATCACCCTTGGCAGCAAGAACTCCAATCCAGTGTTTGTGATAAGTCTTAGTCGTCCTAGTAGTTTTTGGCCCACTCTTCTGAGCAGAATTGTTTTAATTCAGCAACATTGAAGAGTTTTTGAGCATAATTGACTTTTCAAGGTCACGCCAAAGTGTCTCACTCTGATTAAAGTCCAGATTTTGACTAGGTCACTCCAAAACCTTAATTTTTTTTAGTTTTTTGTAGTCATTTGAAGGTGGATTTGCTTGTGTATTTTGGTCATTCTGTGCTTGAGCCTCAGTGAATAGCCGAACAGTCTCCTTCAGGATTTTCTGGTAGAGGTTTTCTTGAAAAAGCAGAATTCAAGGTTCCATCAATAACTGCAAGTCGTCCAGGTCCTAAAGCAGCAAAACAGACCCTCATGATTATGTTTGACTCTTGATAGGATGTTCTTTTAGTGAAATACTCTGCTATTTTCAAGCCACATGTAACAGGACGCAAACTTTGCAAAAAGCATTTGTCACATCAGTTCACAGAATGTTTTTCCCAAAATTTTGGGGATTGCCAAAATGTTTTTTTTTTTGTAAATGCAAGATAAGTCTTTTTGTTCTTTTTGGTCAGCGGTGGTTTTCATTTTGAAGCTCTCCATTGGATGCCATTTTTGTCTAATCTCTTTCTTATTGCTGAATAATGAACACTGACCTTAACTGAGGCAAGTTAGATGCTATTCTGGGTTCTTTTGTGATCTCCAGGATGAGTTGTCAGTGCACTCTCATCGTAAGAGTTAGAGTAAGAGGGGCTTGTTTGTCTAATATTAATTTTTTGGGATAATCTGAAACATAAGTGTGACAAATAGACAATAAAGAAATAAATAAATCAGATAGGGGACAAAAAATTTTGTCAAATCGTTGTAGGTGACTTGTTATGCTTCTTCCTGTCTCTTTCTAAAGCCATTTAATTAACTACACTGAGTGAAGTACTTACTGTACTTTCCCCTGCCTTAATCGTCAGAAGCATTTAACTGTTGCAAAGTTTGGGTAGGTTAATCTGTCCCCACTGGAACATTCCTCGACATAACTCCCTGTCATGTGGTGTGACTGCTCACAGAAAATCTTCTAAACCAAAGTCACATTTATTTTCATAATTTCCAAAAATCCTGCCCAGAGCCTCTCAGGTGACTACTTGGCACCTGTTTTGAAACTGCTTAATGGAGCCCAGATTTGCTGACGTGAAAAAATAAACTTAAGTTCTGCGTATTTGTCTCTTGAAGACAGAAGGGGAAGCATTTGTTTAAAAAAAATAAAATAAAATTCTCTGACGCTCAATCCCTGCATTTTATTCACTGATATACCAGATGCAACCTTAACTGACACTGAATTTCAAATATTACATTAACTCATCCAGTCAAAAAACTGTTAATACAATGCTTTTATGAATAATGTTATTACATTTGTAGCTGTTTAAATTAAAGTAAAATCCTAATTTGAGAACAGAAATGAAATTTATTATGGACTGTAAGTCTCCTAAAATATTTAGATGCTCTTAAATAATTTGTTCTTGAGAGTTGCTGCCCTAATGCATCAACTGCTGTACTTCTAATTTCCTTATATTTACCACAGAACAGTGATGACAACCAAAAGCTTTCTGTTCTATTCTCTTTTCTTTTCTTATTATTTTGTCAAATACTGACAAAATGTTGGTGCCCTTTAGTGAGGTTGCTAAAGTGTTTTAAAACCAAAAGAAATTTTTTACCCTCTCCTCACAAACATTACTCTTTCCATACTTAATTCAGCTACTATTTTAATAATATATGACTTTTTATAAAGTTAATCGAATTAGTTAATCACTGTTTTATTTTTTATTTTTTCTTGTTTGCAAACATTTCACTCTGGTTTTCTTTCCCTTTTCCCTTTAATGTGTGATTGCATGTATATTTGCACATGCGTGTCTTTATTCAGGACTGCTTCTCCATGGCCAACATATCCTGGTACGGGGGTGCCAGTGTTCGGGGTCAGACTTGGCCGATCAACGATCAGAACACCACGATGCAGCCCTTCATCGTCAGTGATCTGAAGGACAATCCCTCTGGGTTCGGCTCTGCCCTGGAGCGCTACTTCCTTGGCTCATCGGGTAAGAGGTCACTGATGGGATTTGCTCTCGATCTCGTCGTTAGAAATGGATTTAGAAATCTTCTCCACGGCTATGTTATTACAAGAAAAAAGGTCTCCTCAGTAAGGATGTTGGCAGTTTGCCACGCTTGCTATTGGTGCAGCGTTAGAACAAGAACAAGGACTCTTGAAACTTGATCCCACATGAGTGGGTATACCATGTGTGGCGTGAATCCCAGGGCGCGAGGGAAGCCCTGTGGATGTTGTTGTGTTGTCCTACCCTTTTCAGCCCCTCATGTAAGCATTTATGCTTTAGCTGGCAAAAATGGTACTAAAGCAGCGTCCCTAAAACACACACAACATACTAGATAAGTTGGCTTCGCCACATAGATAGTGTAACACGATGCTGGCTGTGGCATGTCAGTTTATTAATTCAGAGATTAGAGTACAAAGGCAATCAAGCCACCTGTAGCATCTTAAATTAACTCTTAGGAATACCAGAGTAATTGTCTTTTGTTTCTATTAAAAGAGCAGGTTGGATGGAGGCCCTGCTGACTCTTATAACTCACCAGGTTATTTTGAGGGTGTTAGATTTTATCCTCGGGGGTAAAGGGGGGAGAGGCAGGGGCTGTTAGCGGATGTGAATGGTTAATATGACTGATGAAGAATGTCTGCAGAGAGTGTGTGCATGTGCGTTTACACAAATCTCATGGACTATGGAGATTCAATTTGTCTTTGTGTTGGGTTGGTTTCTGAGCTACTGCTTAAATAAACTAATCTTTGTTCCTATCGAATTTTGATATCAATCTGAGATCATGATTATTATTATTAGCACACTGACATTGTTCAAAAAATCTTTAATATTCACATATTCTCATTTCTACATGCAGGCCTTAGGTGTAGGGCCTTAAGTGAATATCTTTGAGCTCTGTAAATGGTTTAGGATTTAGCTGTGAGTAACTACAAAACTCAAATAACCTGCCACAGGGAACGCAGTGACATCACCCAATAAGGCGACACAAATAATCATCGACTTCACTGATTGTTAGCACTAGCTTCACTCACAGTCATTTACATGCTGATGGAACCGCATATACACACATATATCTTTTGCTATGTAACAGTGACAGGCTTCGCCTGAGAGTCACATGACTTAAATCCCTTTTCCACCTTGTGAAAGGATGCCAGTAATTATTAGGACCCCCGTAACCCTTTGTTTATCTGCTTAGCTTTCCACAGAGAGGAAAACACACATGCACACACATGCAGCCAGAGATAGCATGAGATCCCAATGAGATCAACTGTTTATTTGTTGCCAAGTAACCTCTCACAGATACATAGCCCCAAACATAGCAAACTGATGCTCAGCAATGACAATGATGCCTGTTGGAGCATTAAAGGTATATTTAACATGATATCCTGCTTTAAAGTTCAAGGATGTCTTTGTTTGGCTCCAGGATTTGCATAATGTGCACATTAGGCCCGAGAGAAAATGTTTTTCCATGATCAAAGACATTTTCCAAGCATTTCAACACTTCTCACTTTGCTTTCAGATATTGGACACCAGTCCAACAGATCACAAGAACATAAGTTTCATGTATTTTCCTTATTTGCCAACAACATAATCAGTCTGATGTGTGACAAACTAGTAGCTTCTCGGTCCATTTAGTTAAAGAAGTAATTTGTGTAACCTACAGAACATTTCATCACCAACAAGGGCTTTAACCTTCAGACTTGTGTGGTCCTGTGCTGCAAGTAGAAATGTTACACCTGCTTGAACTGCACGAAAGAGCTGTTCTCTCCGGTGTAAACTTGGTACATTTGTGAATTAGCAGCCACTTTTACAAAAGGCATACGAGACAGAGTTTCAGAGGCAGTCCAGTGATGTACTGTGTTTTACTGTCAGAACTGACAGCAAATGGACACCTTCTCAGACCACATCACGTCACATGCCAGACAAATCAATCCATCCATCCATCCAGCCAGCCAGCCAGACATTCATTTTTTCTAGTAATGGAATTCAGGGTCACGGGGGGTTGGAGCCGATCCCAGCTGTCATAGGGCAAGAGGTGGGGTACACCAAGGAAGGATCAAAAGTCAGTTGCAGGGCTATCACAGAGAGACAGGCATTCATTCACATTCACACTTGTGCCAATTTAGAGTCGCCAACCAACTCATCTTGCATGTCTTTGGACTTTTGGAGGAAGCCAGAGTACACAGAGTACACACAATGAGAACATGCACACTTCACACAGAAAGAAGAGGAATGGAGTTAATATCCAGTTATGGTTTAATTCCAGAGTAGTTTGCATACTCTATTAGTATCTACCCTTTATTTGCATGACCCCTGTTATAGTCTCTCTACATGTTGAATTTACATTTATATTTTGTACAAAAATATTGCATTTTACATGCATCAAAATGAATTTGTGCTCATTTTGCTGCTCCGGGCAAAATAACAACACTTTATTCTCATCTGTATAGAAAGAGCATTTTGTCAGTCTTCATTAGCTGCGTTTATCTTCCTTATCTGCCCAGCAGCTCAGTCCAAAGAACCACATGATATCTCAGATTAAAATCCAATGTGATTATGACTGTGAACTAGGTTATTATAGTTAACCAAAACCAAAGTAAAAGCGTGGAAAAACATTCCAGTTAACTAAAATGGAACTAAAAAGCCAGGCTAAGTGTAAACGTCTGATACATTAATCAAAGAATATAGAGATAAATTCAAATGCAAAGGTTTTGGGATGACTACATTAATAGAATCTGCTGCTTTAACATTATTATGGCTGTAATGTCACGTGTATTCCAGTGTTATTGAAGTCGAGACACTGACAAATACCTGTCATACTATTAAAAAATAAGCAAACTCAGCTTGGAAGCCAGAACTGAACTATAAATGAAATGCAAATAAAAAAAACTATGGAAAATTCAGCTATAAATCTTATAATGTGTTTGAGTCATAACTGCTTCATTTTTATGGATAATAGTATTGGGACAGGAAACAATTACAGAAGTTTTTGTGGCAAAGAAAATCCACATTCATGTGTGGATATCATTATAGAGATTTGTGAGGTTATACAACCGTGTGAAAGTTTAATTAGAAAAGTGATTTGTTCCTGCTTTTTTTCTCTTTCTTTGCACTTAATCAAGTCTAATTGAATGCAGATGGAAAAATACTTACAGAAATATAGAGAAGAAATTATATCATATATCACTGGTTATTAGCATGCACAGCTCCTCACCCCTTTCCAAGTGCTAACAGTTTCTTCTCAAGAAAAGTTGCTTTTAAATCCAGCTGTGTCCACCAACACTCAGCAAACCGTGATTAGGATAGTGCTTCTCAATAGGAGTTAGCTGCATGCACACAGCACCGTATGCAGTCATAGACACACAGTACACACTGTTCATGTGTATTTGAAATGCAGCGATATGTCTGCGCCAATAAATGTGTATTGTAATGTGTATTAAAACAAGAACTCCAGTGTTGTTTTTCGTTTAAAAAAAGGAGATTTTGGGAAGGCAGTATTCCAATAGTAATTTAAAAAAAAAAGTAAAACAATCGCCACATGTCTTTACTTTTGGTTAATATTATTTATTATTAATGGACTGACAACACTTTCATCTGAGCTGTCTTCATAAATCTGCTTTGGAGGAACAAACATACAGTTAATGCAGTTTTAACGTAACATTAGGCTTCACAGCTGTTTGAACCCGCTGATCGTTGCAAGTGGCCTGTCTACACTGACTCTAGTTAGTCATAGCTAGAGTTATAAATGTTGTGGGCAGTATAGAGCTGTGGCTGACATTAAAAACTTAAGAGGACTCCTTGGGATAGTTAAAGACCATGACAGACAGATTGAAATATTTGTGATAACAGAGCATATATGTATGGTAATTGGTCATATTAAACAGAGAATCAAGAAGAGAGGTAAAGAGTAGCAAAGTAAAGCCAAGGTAGAGAAACTGGATGAAAGAGATACAGCATGCCACCATGCAGCAGAGTGACATTTGAGAGCGTTTCCAACTGGAGGAACTTATCACAGCCACACCTGTCTTTATCCATTCAAAAACACAACTGGACTAGTAAGAACAGATTAGCTATTAGCAAAGTAGCATCCTAGATCACATGCATTATAATGGCATATTAAAAGGGCTACAGCTAGAGGTCCGAAGGCTTGACATGGGAATACTGCATGTGTTCAAAAAGATTGTTATTGTGTGCTGCCTGTGGGCTTAAAACAATACTAAGTAGACAAACCAGTAACAGATGAAAACTGTCTCTTTATTTGTCTCCTAAAATAACAAACAAAATGAAATAGATTATAATATAATGAGATCTTTAGCAGTAATGGGAATACAAGCGGCGGAAACGATTATTTGAAACACATTGATTTGAAAGCAAAGTAGCCATTTTTGTCCCGTGTGTGACTAATTAACACGGCAGGATTTATGTGTAAAATAATTGTTGGATGTTGGCACACAAGTGAGAGGTGAATTATTTGCCAGAAATTCTATTCTCATATATAAAAGACTTCATTTTTCCATGGCCTGTATCCAAATGCTTTGTACTGAGCTGAAGTTTGGCTTGCATCGTGAGTTTCCGAATTGTTATTACAAACGAAAGTTCAGAGCAAACCTGTTAGTTTTTTAAAAATGTGATTGTGTAACTACTTTAAATGTCCCCCTCCTGTTGTGCTCAGCCAGCCAGTAATGAATCTAGTTTTTCTTAATAGATTTTTTTTTCATGAAGAGAAACACACAGAACACGCTTTCTCCAAGATTCCTCGCAACAACTTTACAACAACTCTTTAAGATATTACACCACTTCCTCCACATGCACACGTGACTTCTGTCTCTAATATAACGGAGCTTTATGTTGACAAGGGATAGAACAGTTAAAGCTAAAACGTGTTTCCATTACTCAGTTTCATGGAAAGCAATAGAAGAGGAAGGAAGGAAACCACAAAAGAAAAACAGATAATTATCAAAAAATTTTAATGTCATTCAGCAATCTGAATGCAAGGTATCCAAGCTGTAAGCTTTTTACAAATGTTTTGGAGATGCAAAGACTAAATACACTCGCTTTCTCCTAACCAGTAATTGAAAGCGCAAATAAGGCTTACGGAGTACCAAAGAGTAAGAAATCAGAAAAGAAATCAGAAAAGAAATCTAGCTCTCTTAACTGTGTTCTTAATTTTTACTAAATATCTTCTCGTTGGAAATGTTTTAAAGATGATTTTCTTATTGGTTTTTAAACCAATCTGAGATCAAGATGCCAAACGTAGGACACTGCTCCAAAACACTCATCTGCGTTGCTCAATAGGTCACGACGAGGTCCCTGGGCAGCTGCCCCGAAACCTCGACACTCCTGCAAAGTAAGATGTGAAACACTTCAAGAATGACACCGTTAGCCAGCTGAAGCTTTGTTAAAAGCAAGCTGTCATCTCCTGTATGAGAGAACTACTGAATGAAAATCACCCCACAACATTTTCCACAGTTGACCTCTTATACTTTCCATGAAGGACAACAGGCAAGAAACAGAAGAAAGACTTTTTAAAGGGTGTAACAACGGGACAGCTTCTGTACTCTTCATATAGACACGTAACTTGTCTGTGGTTGCTCAGGTCATTTCCCTTTCCTTACTTTAACCCTGAGCTTTAGTGAAATCTTTGTTCAAGTGAGAATGTCAGAATATGAGTTTAAACGGTTTGCTAACGTCACCACTGAAGCCAAACAAAAAGTATTATATCAGCTCTCACAGTTTTTAGAGTTTGTCTAATCCAATCTGCTGGTAGTGAAAAGGACACATCTGTAATGTTTGTACAGAACACAGTGTCTCACCCTTGAAACAATAAAACTGATTGATGATAGGAGTAGAGCAGAGAGAGCCTCTTTAGTGTTTCATTATTTCTTCAATAAGTGGGATTGGAAATTTACTACAATGGCAATGTCCCAGTTTTGTGGCCATCAATTTCTTGAGGTTGGGCACAAAAACGAAATTTCCATTGTTAAAGAAGTACATGCCAAACACACACAAACTCGCACACACAGGGTTAGTGTTTGAATGCACATTTTTTTAACCCCTAGTCAGGTCTGTAAGTTTGCACGGTTGTCAGAAAGAACAGTAAAACTATGACAGGTAAACGAGTGCAGTTCATCTGGTCCACAGCAGCAGGGAGTCATAGAGTAGCATTTTCCTTCAGACCAGCACTCTCAAGGATCCTAGGCGCCACATTAAAACCTTACCGACCCTGGTGAAGGTGCACAGGGTCTGCTACCACCTACAGATGTTGAGGTCAGACTGAGTGAAAGTGAGCAAAGAGTCTTTATGGTCCTATAAGCTCAGCACTGTTTTTCTTGGAAAGCTGCAGTTGCACATTGAACAAGGTGTGCCTGAGAGACGTGTACGTGAAAATTCATGTATGTCCACATATATCTGATAGTTGTTTGATTTGTGTGTCAACAGCTACAAAACTGAGAAACGTCAATCAGATCTGTACAGCAAACGTGTGTAATCTTTAAATTAACGAGAGGCGAGGCGAGAGCATATTTTCCACCAGTCACAAAATGTCACTTTTTGAGAGCTAGTAAAAAAGAAAAAAGAAAATGTATTGAATTTTGGGGAATTTTTAAGAAGCTGCTTTAAAAATCTCCCTCACCTCCTGGGTACACCACTATGGGAACAACTTAAGGCTTCAAATCTTGTTCATTTTCTTTAAAATGATCATAAATCCTGCTAGCATACGTTGCATCTTATAGAGCGTAATAAATAAACAGGATTAGAATGGTTTGGGTGGGGGGTTGTTTTTAAATGAGAAGCTCCCTGACAGGAAAAAAGGCACACCAGTGCGTTCATAGTGTTTTGAGTAAGATTTTATAAACAGACGACAGGATTTGGTATACTTAACTTTCAAAAATGCACGTTTAATCCGAGATGGAATAACAGGTACAGCAGTTTAGGATCAGTTTGTCTCATTTCCTTGAGGCTCTGCAGTGTCATTTCCAACAAAAATTAATTATGACTTGAGAAGGCAAATTCAACTCCATTTTCCACTCTGTATGCACTTTAGTAAAAGCCACTGTTTGCAGCTTCAGCAGCACATTAGTCTACGAGGCTTCTTGCTGTCTGGTGTAGTCCTTTTGCGTATGTTTCCACTACTTTCTTTCCACTTCCATCCTTCTATAAATCTTTATAATTTTCTCTGCAAACCACATCATACACCACCATACTCTTTCAAAGCACCTTTGCCTTATCAACTTTCTTCTATCGCGTCCATTCAACTCCTTTGTTATTGAAAATATTTCTGTATGTCAGAAATACATAAAATTAAATGTTTATCATAAATATTTCCTAAATAAAATCTGCATTTATCTGCCATTTATAAATTTGTAACAAACACGTGGATGTTGACCTAATACCTTGTGAGAGGCAGCTGAGGTGTTACCAGTATCTCTTTGACATTATCCATTGCAAACACGTGGGAATTACCCTGAGGCTGAAGGCTCCTCACAAGGCTTTTAAATACTGATCTCTGAAACTATTAATCTGATTATAAACTGGTACACGAGTATCCCGCCTGCTCCTGGTCCCTGCTTCCATGAGAACAGTAAGCCCACTGAAACTAGAGAGAGCAGCTGAAATGAGCCAAGGTCTCACCAGTTTCTCAGACTGTCTAATCTGTCCATTGATTGGTCACAAATCTTAAACCCCAGTTTGGTTACTTTGAGCAGCTTTTGCAAAATCTCAATACGAGGTCAGGGTCTGTGTTAATGGCTCAGTTTATTAGATGGGACAGAAACATAGCCAAGCAGAGCACAGAGGAACTGAAGGTTGTTAAAGCTGGGAGGGAGAAGGTGGGAGTCAGGTTAGGGGAGAAGTGGTTAGGGTTAGGGTAACCTGAGATGAATGGGGCATTCCTTCCAGGGCAACTACATCTGCAGATACAATTTTCAGCTACACATAATCTTGTCATTATGCAAGCCATCTGATGGACTGTATGTGCATGCAGTAGCAGAAATCTAAAGAGGCCCCCTTAACTGCAAGGTTTTAGAAGGATAAAGTAGACAAAAATCATCTTCAAATCTTCAATATTTCTGGTAAGTTTTGTTATTCGGAGAGGGAACATGCACGGGACATTCAATGCTCGTGTTTGCCCAGAAGCAAGCATAATGGACAAATAAAAAATGTTTCTAACCCTGCCCTCAGTGTTACTTTCCAGGCTACCTGAATCTCATTTCACTGGTCTGCAGTGTAACCTACCTACTTAGAACTTGCCAGTAGTTTCAGGGTAAACTCATCCAACTGTGTGCTGCTATATCTCATTCTGGGGAGTGTTTTTCTTACATCTGAGTGGAGCAATATCAGCTGACACAGGCTGCACTCTACCTCCCACAACACTCCATCCGTCATACTCATACTGGTCTCAGTAACACTCATGCACTATGTCATATAAGTGGAATTTGCAATGGACTGTCTTATTTGCGCTGATCTCTGCCTCTTTAAATCATAACTGTTTGAATTACCTGACTTTTCCTTCGCATGAGTGTATGACCTAGACTGTGACTTTATATTGCAGCTGTTTATCTGACTCCTTAAAGCAAGGTTTCATCCACAAGCATAATGTAAGCTAATGACCGACGCCCATTCCTGTGTGCTTCCTACCATGCAGGTGTCGCAGTGCTTGTATCTCCTGACATCCCCCTGCAGCTCGGGCTGGACAGCAGACAGCAGTTCTGCCTACAGTCACTTCCAAGTATGGAGCGACTCCCTCTGCAGTACACTGTGTGTGTGGCCCACAATGTAAAAGCTGCTCACCAGGAAGCAGTGCAACAGCTCTCGGAGCACAGCAGGGAGCTGCCCAACATGAAAGCACTGCGGTTAGTTCAGTTTAGATTTAGATTAGACCAGATGTAAATTTCACTCTGCTTCACTTCTGGTTATTATAACAGCGGTGCACTGGTGTGGTTGGTGAGCACCGATTGAAACTTTAGTCTCGCGAGCCAACTGTGTTTAACTGTTCCAGTCTGATTCCTGTGTGTGTGCCGCAGGCTGCCATTCTGGAAGCTGCTCGCCAACATGGACTCAGGGCCGAAGGTGGAGCGGGAGATGAGGACTTTCTCGAATCGTCTGAAGAGACACCAGCTTGGGGAGGGAGTCATCAGCCTCAATGAACATTCCACCACCCTCCTTTCTGATATGGTACATGATGCAGACACACACTGACTACTGAACTGTGCTGTGTCTTCTCCCAGCCTTTAAAGGCTGTGACAGAGTTAAGTTTTCATTGTGAAAATATTCTGCTAAGGCAAACCCAATCTGGGTCGGATAAAAATCCCACTGGTTAAACCGTTTAAATGAAATAAAAAATAAAATTAACCCACCAACAGGATTTAACAAATAGTGGATAAGGATTGGTAACACACTCAGTGTCTTGACAGTTTTTGTATGGCAGGTGTGAGCTCTCATATTAATAAATAGATTATAAAAAGTCAGCACTGCATCATAAAAGGTTGCTGTTTTCAGCATTTTCGAATGCAACCTTTGCTTTATCGCACTGAAGTGGACATTCCTGGTGGATTGGGCCACCTGCTGCGGTGCTGCTGCCATTTGCCATTGCAGGTATCAAATGATGGAGATAGAAGTTTTGCGGATGCAGGCATCAGCTGTATTTAGCTTAAATTTTTATTTAAACATTACAAATATAGTGTGTTGACATTATAGCTGGCTGCAGGGGCCATGCTTTATGTTCAATTCTACTAGTCTGTTGATACGAGGTCTTGAAATGAGAAGCCAGTTCATGGAGTTTCTATTTTCAGTAGAAGCTCTCTTCTTTTACTAAGCCTAGAAAAGTTTGTTAACCCAGTGACTAGAATTAAGATGTGTATATTATTCTTTTTTCATTCATCTTCATTTCTTCCGCTGCATAGCTGCAGATTTTCATAATCCACTGCTTCAACCACAGAGGTTGTGTCAGGTTTTGTGTGGAGGCGAGGAAGAAGGAACCCAAACGCAGGACTCGCAGGTAGGTGAAGCCTGGTGGTTTACTATGATGAGCGGATGAAACAGGACATGCAACGGAGGGCTGACTGAACTGAGATAGCTGGCTGAACTGAAATGACTGAACTCATAGCTGGACTGTCCATCGGGCATACCGGGCATTTGTCCGGTGGGCCGCTGGCGATTTTTTGTTTTTATGGGCCGATGGGTTTTTTGGGTTTTTTTTGGTTTTTTTAGGAAGGGTATATATAATGAAAGGTGTTGGATTGGCCAATTGGTCATGATCGACTCTGGGCTGGACCAATTACAGCCGAGGAGGCTGGCTGCACCCTCCCCCTTCTTTAGCAATCACGTGATTTTCGCGCATTGCATGCCGGGAACTCGTGGCAAAACAATCCAAGTACCGCATCAAATGCAAACATTTGCAGCACCGCAAAACGTTCATTCTCCGGTTCCAAAAAATCAAAGGAGTGAAAGAGTGGACAAAAGACATCAGCGTGCTGCCCAACTTTCACCACGCTCAGATTTATAATTATACGCTTCTTGGAGTGAGTGCATACACTCATGAACTTTAGTAACTTCAGGTCACTGCAACATGCCCGGGTACAGTTTACCGACGGATGGGTGCAGGACCTTGAAATGCACCGTGTAGAACGAAAGATTATTGTACATATCATAAGTTTACCAGTCTCACAAATCGTCTTCATAAATACACATTCATTAACAGTTTATTAATAGGACCTTTAAGCTCAACGGTAATTAATTAGTAGTGGAAATAATTTCTGGTAGTGTAACAGTGTTTATGTGGTATTATTCCACTTGCCACAAATATCAGTGTAATGGGGAAACAGCCCCCCCCCCCCCCTCTCGGTGTGGCTGGCTGCAGTAATCGCTGCCAGTCTGCCGTAGCCATACGAGAGGTGAGTTGTATTGTTCCGCACACGATATAGCTAAGTAGTACAGACACATAAAACATGTTTGATTAGCTGACGAGCACCGAGTGTAATAAGTGCTTAGTGGACACATGTCCAACACCAGTTTTATGTACTTTTCATTTGTTTATTAATGTGTGAAACTGTATGCTAAAGCGGAATGCTAATGAGATGTTCTGCCGTAGTGTGCTGTGCGGAGTGGTGTGTGGCGAGCCTGTGCACTGATAATACACCGTTGTTTCCATTCAGGTACATCATTTGTTGTTGCTGTTATTTTATTGTATATTAGAAATTGTAATATTGCTGCAGTAATCGCTGCCAGTCTGCCGTAGCCATACGAGAGTGTGCTGTGTGGAGTGGTGTATGGCGAGCCTGTGCACTGATAATACACCGTTGTTTCCATTTAGGAAATAAAGTGGCAACGATCTATCAGAGACTGTCTTTTTAAAAACACTACACAACGCAGAGTCGAGGAGTCTGTTTGGGCCGAACTGTTGCAGCGGGATGAAGCAGAAACCGGTTACAGTAGCATTACAGAAATGTAGCAGTGACAATAATATTGTATGTTGTAATCGCAATGGACAATTAGTGATACAAAACAACTGTTTTATCCTGTGAATAAAAGTTTATGTTTTTGTCAGTGTACCATGGTTATAACAGAAGCGAAACGCAATATTGTGTCAGAACAATTCACTATTTATGCACAATAAACAAAGGAGCATAGCGCGACATCACCAATTATGTTAAGAAAAATGACGTATTAACTACTACAAAACTCTGACCTTTGTGGGAATGCTTGGAGCAGACTAACATGTGAGCTGGGGTGTTCTGAGACGTTATATTTGGTATATCCAGACCATCCATCGGCTCTTACTTCGGAAACATGGCTTAAAAATTTTCACTTCAACGACATAATCCATAAAAAAAAAAAAAAAAAAAAACGATCTCTTTACCCGTCGGCTTCCTGTGGCTGTCATGCGCCCGGCTATTGCAGTTAATAATACAACAGCTTCTTGCCATTTTTTGGGTTTCTTTTTATCGCTGTGTAAGTGAGTTCAATTGAAAGCCTGCGTGCGCTAGTACCTCTTGCCACAAGTTCCCAGAATCCTTTGCGGTTTTATCCCTGAATGACGTCACATTTTCAATCTTTATCCTGGTGGGCCGTCTCTAGTCAAAATGCCCGGGCCGATTTTTTGTCCCAGTCCAGCCTTGACTGAACTGGCTGGATTGGAAACACGGACAGTACACAACATCAATGACACGACAAAGACCTGGTGGAACCGAGGAACTTAAATACACAGGTTGAATGACGACAATGTTTGGAAACAGGTGAGTACAGGGCTGAACATAATCTGACTAATGACAAAAGCTGACACAGGGGGGGGTGGGAAGGAAGTGACAACATTAATGTGGCGAACTAAACTGAACATGAACAAACTGAAATCACTAACAACCCAGGAGCCCTGACAGTACCCCCCCAAAAGAAAGAAGAAGAAGAAAAAAAAAAAAAAAAGGAACAGGGTGGGCGGCCGCGGCCACTGAGCAGGTCCGGTGGGCGGCCGCGAGGAAGACGGCGGCGGCCACGCCAGCGACGAGGTCCAGTCAGCGGCCTGGAAGGTGGCCGAATCCGTCGAGGACGAGGAGCCGGCGGTGACGGAGGAGCGGCTGTAGGCGACGGCGGTGACGGAGGAGCGGCTGTAGGCGACGGCGGTGACGGAGGAGCGGCTGCGTGGGGCGGCTGCAGGCGACTGCGTGGGCGCCAGCGAGTGCGGAAACCCCTGGCTGAGGAGCTAGAGAGCTCACAGCTGGCTTTGGATGCTGTGGCTGCAGGTCAGGAAACTGAACAGGATGGTGAATGAGTGACTGGGTAGGAGACTGGACTACAGGCTGAACTGACTGGACCACAGGCGGTGGGAGAATGGGTGACTGAGCTACAGGCGACCGGACAGGAGGCGACTGGACTGACAGGAGGCGACTGAGCTGCGGGCGACTGGACAGGAGGAGACTGGACTACAGGAGACTGAACTACAGGGGTCTGGACTGGGGAGGCTAAAGGATCAGAGGTTGGTGAGGATAATGGCTGAGCTAACGACTGAATTAGTGAAGGGGATAAAGCTGCAGCCTGGGCTAGTAAAGCTGGTGCCCGAGCAGGGGACAGGTCCGCTAGCCTAACCAGGGAACGCTGGATCAGGTGGATGAAGAGGTAGACTAGTAGGGGGAGAGGCTAGCTTTTCCGAACCTCTAGGGAGGTCAGGCTGGGTTCTGGCTGCCCTCAGCCTGGGTGCTGGGACAAGAATGGAAGGTGACTGGACGCCAGTCACACCCACCCGAGGAACACGGACGGGTGCAGGAGTGGACTGGGACGCAGCTGCCCTCCTCCTGGGAGCTGGCACAGGTTTGGGTGTAGGCTGACTGATAGGGGTGGAAATAATGACTGGGTGTGTGATACTGCCAGGTTTATCAGGGATTATTCTGGTCCTTCTGCCACCACTATTCACAGTCTTTGACTGAACAGTCCTTGGGGGAGCAGAAAAAAAAATCTTCCCAGTCCACATCATCGTCCAGGAGGGAAACCCCCCATGAATCAGAGATGAGTCTATTTTTTTAAGTGAAGAGTCAGACGAAGAGTGCGAAAAACAATCACTGGAACTCACCACCGGGAGTTGCTCAAAATGGTCCATATTATGGAGGCGTGCGCGCCGCTTTCTCCGGGAAGAGGAAACGGGCAGGGTAAACAACTGAGCCTCTGGCGCGGGAGCCTCCGTTGAGCAGAGTTGGGAGGCAGAGCAACTGTGGCATGGCGAGGTTGGAGGTCCAGTGAATAAGGCGGCGGGTGTGTGAGCGAGGAGCGGAGCGGCAAGAGAAGGAGCGGCTGAAACACGGCGAGAAACGCCCACTCTCCGCGGTAAATGCTCCGGTGCAGGTGAGGCAGCAGGTGGGGGAACGCGGCGTCTGCGAGGCCTGCCCAGAGCCAGGCGAGTCCCCTCGAAGACATGGTCTCTCTCCGCTGTTTTCCCCTGAACTCCTCTGCCCAACGGGAAAGTGCTGCCTCCTGCCGCTCATAGAGGTCCGAGTCCGCTGGGTTCCAATCGTGTCTTCGTAGCACGGGTCGTGTCATTCTGTCAGGTTTTGTGTGGAGGCGAGGAAGAAGGAACCCAAACGCAGGACTCGCTGGTAGGTGACGCCTGGTGGTTTATTGGATTGGAAACACGGACAGCGTACACAACATCAATGACACGACAAAGACCTGGTGGAACCGAGGAACTTAAATACACAGGTTGAATGATGACAACGATTGGAAACAGGTGAGTACAGGGCTGAACATAATCTGACTAATGACACAAGAGACAAGCTGACATGGGAAAAAACAGGAAGTGAGAACATTAATGTGGCGAACTAAACTGAACATGAACAAACTGAAATCACTAAGTCAACGACCCAGGAACCCTGACAGGTAGTAAATCTGGTAAGAGTTCATTGGTCAGAGGCCCACAACTGGTCAGAGATAGAGATGAAGGAGTTTTCTTAACACTAGGAAGGCCCAGAGCCCAGCCATTTGGCTTTTCTACCTTTAAAACCCGGAGAGCAGCCGGGTGGATCTCCAGAGCACTGGAGGCAGGGAACAAGGGAGGGAGGACAGGTTCAGTGAAATGTTACAACATAGAAAAACAAAAGCCAGATTAGGTTTGTTTTTCCTTTTTTGTTTTGTTTTTGTTTGTTTGTTTGTTTGTTTGTTTGTTTGTTTGTTTGTTTGTTTGTTTGTATGTTTGTTTGTTTGTTTGTTTGGGGTTTTTTGCCTAACAGAACTTAGTTCCACAAAATGCCGATCAAATCTTCAGGACACTTTGTGATGCCTTACAGCATGTAAATGGGGCACTTCATCATCAAATATGTTTTCAGATATTCTTTCAGCTGCACATTCATACAGTTCCCTTCCCTAAATGCTATTGCAAACTGCCTGGTAACGACACCACCGGACCACAGTCAAGTCAATCCGTGTCAACACCTGGTAGAACCTGGTGGTGTTCCGTTACAAAACAAATATAGTTGAGAGAAGACAAACAGAGCCTTTCCTAATAGGTATTAGGTTGCTCTGAGTGTGGTAACTGCAGGATGGCAAAGAACTGGGTGTGCTGAGATTTGAAGGAACCTTAGCTAACTAGAGCAAGTAATCCCAGCTTGATGCTCAGATATGACCCAGACTGTACAGCAGAAGACCATGCAGGCAGAAATGCAATCAGTCCATAAAAGGTTATTTCCAGACATCCTGTTATATACGTACACACTGGTAATGTTTCCATTGCATTTTCAGTAGTTGTGAAAGAACAGAAACAAAATAATAATACAGAATAATATGCAATCATGATGGATGGCGGATATTAAGGATATTAATCACCAGTTTTGTTGGTACCACCTCACTTCACTCCCTTCATACTTCAATAAAGAACCAGCCAAGCATAAAATCCTGCATGGAAACTTACAGAATTAACACATTAGGCTGTGTAGAAGTGTGGCTAGCAACAATGATCCCCTTTCACTCCAGTTTTACAAGAGTCCATACATTTTCAGTCACTCTGTTAATTTTTATTTTACAGTTTCCATTTTACTCTGCAAGAACTGGCATCAAAGTGATTTGGTTATTAATAGGTTTGCATTATTTCTAATTTTATTACATAGAAATTAAAGTAAATTTTTAGAATAAAAGCCTAGAGTCTAACACATTATTTGAATTTCTTTGCATTTTACTTCTTTCTGGATTTAAAAAAAAGCAGAAGAAATGAATGGTTAGTGGGGGGGGGGGGGGGGGGGATCTAAGAAATTAAACAATATGAGCTAATATAGCCTTTCCTCCCACAGCTATTTTACATATGATTTGTCTTGTTCCACAGTTATGTAATGCAAAGTTCCCAAAGGACTCTAGCAAATGTCAAATGGTTCTGACAGAAGTTGCATTCTCAAAGCTACAATTCTGCAAAGCAACTTTGCAAAGGTGTATGCTAGTAGCACCATTAAACTATTAATTAAAATTGTTGTCTGTCTTTTTGTTACTTTGCAGGACCATGACTACCTCAACAGCAGGAAAAGGGGGATGTCCAAGAGACTGACCAGGGACCTCCCACTTGTCAAGCTTCTTAACATTTCCATCACCATGTCCCCTTTCCTGGGGGTGGACACCACACAGTTCCACACCTCCCTTATTGATGGCACTGAGGCCTACTGGCTCAGTCTCCCTTCAGCCCCTCAGGGACAGCTGGTGAGGCATGAGAGGCACACACTATCATATTGTAAACCACTTAGTTGCGTCCACAGTAATCCACATTTGAACTTTGAACTGAGATTTATGTATTTTCATTTAGTTTGTTGTTGTGGGAGGCAGTATAAAGAACCCACCACATTTTTATTTCATGCTAAGTACAGTTTTCCCTGACAGTTAACTTTCCTCACGCTACTAAAACACTCTATTCGGTCAAACATGAAACCAGACAGAGATTTGGGGATATTTTCCTCCTGCATTGCAGACTCTCTGCATTAATCAGCTCCAGTTTGATCAAATTAAAAAAGCAATGCAATGCAAACGCAGTAGGACTAAACCAGGAAATCTATAATTGCAGCAGCAGTTGCACTGCGGTTTATAATTAGTCAATTATCCACAGAGAAAATAATAGCAGTGTAAAATAAACACCAATTAGAATGCAGTTGCCTCTGTCCCTCTACCCAGATCCCTGTGATGAGTCAGTGGCGAGGAAAGTTCTGTGTAAAGCTGAACATCACAAATCCAGGAGCAGTGAGCTGGTTCCTGGACAGGGTAGGAGCCCTTCAAACCCGTTTAGGGATGGAGTACATCATGCTGGAAGGGGGCGAGGGGAATCTGTTTGAGGAGCAGGCACTGCGGCCACCGCAAGCTCTGGGTGGAGACAAGTACATCAGCCTGCTGGCTGACCTGGCCACCAGGATAGGAGATTCCACCATTATGACTGCAGGGACACGGTAATCTGTCAGCTAATGCACAATGACATTGCTTCCCGTAAGGCACATTTGTGTTTATTAGGACTTTTTCTGTGTCTCAGGTCCAGTTACAAGCCACTCTTTGTGAGGATGACCCCCCTGCAGTCTGATTGGAGCCCGATGGGTCTTAAGGCCTTCATTCCCAACCTGTTGCACCACACTTTGCTGGGATACAACTTCCTCATTCCTGATGCAGTAGGTAATACGAGAACCTATGGGTCCCTTTTTTTATCACATAGTGATATTTTTGCCTTTTTGTGAGAACTGAAAAAAGCGCTTGATTAGTGTTGCTTTGGACAAAGCTGGGAGCTGTCAGTAAAACATGGGCCTGATATAACTGCCGTGAAACATCTTAAATTGTTCATTAGATATGAGGTATGAGTTGTATCAAGATAGTTTTAGTACAATGTTATAGCCCACACTAGCTTGCAAAACACCAGTAATTAACATGAACCAGATCTAAAAGGATAAATTGATCTTTTTCCAAAATAGAGAAGCCAACGTACATCATATTGCATTGTCTTAAATCTGCAAATTAAAAAAGCCACACGAGTACCCACTGTTTAACTGTTTTTGTCTTTTCTCTGCCTCTGCACAGGTGGCTCTCTGTCTGGAGACCTGGTCACAGATGAGGAGTTGTTCATCCGCTGGCTGGAGATTGCAGCCTTTCTTCCTGTTATGAGCTTCCACACACCACCCTGGATCTTCGGGGAGGGCCAGGTATACTACCGGTCTGCCTCGTGTAGCCACCCGGCAGCAGCCTGCGTTTGGTGCCATTACAGCTGTGTCATCCACATTAGTGACAACCTAGCAGGTTCACATTCTGCTCATGACTTGCTAACCAGATTTTCGCTTGTGAAGATTTACTGTGGAGAGATCAAGTGTAGTGAGGTGTGAATGCTGCCAATTAGATGTTCTAAAAGGGGGTGGGAGATTATCCTTCCTTCCCACATGCTGCTGTTGAAAAAGGGACCTTAGAGAAGTGGTTCATTGGCCCAACAGCCAGCCCTCAATTCTGAGGGTCAAGCGCTGAGAAGTTCCCACCGATTCTTTTGCAGAGGAGCTAGAGGACTGCTGAGACCTGATCTATCAAAACTCAGATCTGACTCTCCCCTCAGCAGGAGGGGCAGGACTGAACCATGAACCTCTCCATGGGAAATGAGGAACACACTATTCACCATGCACAGCAGGAAAACAAAGCCTTAAGTCTCTGATGACAGGTATTGATGCTTTTGACAATGTGTTACCAGAGCTCAGGTTCCTGAACAAAAAACGCTTTATGCTCCTGCAGAGGAAGAAGGGTAATGCCCTCCCTAACCCCCTTCCCCTCCCGCCTTTCCTCATCTCATTCACCTGTGGTTACGAGTCCATCTGGTCTGAATTACAATCCCTATTCTAGATTTATGGCTCGCTCTCACTCTCAAGGGCCACTTCAGCAGGAATGATAATGAATTTGAGGACAAGTCTTGGAAAAATACTTTATTGTGGCAATTAAGATTTCCATGAGTAATTGACAAGTGTGACAGAGTGGGAGTGATCAAATGAATTTTTTTCCACTAGGAGGGAGCTAAAGCAGCAAAATATATTAGTTGTGACTTGTGTTGTGTGACAAAGATAAAAATAGGCCTTTTTGGACGGCGAGGCATTTGACAGCAGCGATGTTTTCCATTTTGGTCTCTTGCATGGTCTTCAGTTCATAAACCCAGATGAAGTGAGAGCGGGGAGATATTTTAGTGGAGATAGACTGTTGCATTGCCCATGATAAATGACTCTTTTATAGACATTTTTACTACAGTTTTAAATGTGGTGCACCTTTATTTCCAGAATGTGTGAGACTGCAGTCGGTCACAGACAGGTCACAGCAGCAAATACGTTGGAATCGAATAGCAGCAAAACCTCAAAGCCACACACATGCCTGGCTTCTCAATTAGGGAAAGATTCACTCAAACCAGTGGCTCATTCCTACAAATGGTCTCAATCCCAAGTCATAAAAATACATTTTTTTATAGAGGCGGTCAAGTTTTGTTTTTGTCGTGAGACTCTGAAGAGGATGTGACCCTTCCAGAAATGCTGAAGTCGTTTGGGCAAAGGGAGACAGCACAAAGGCTTTGGCAGAGTTAAACCCACTAAGTCAACAATGAGTGACTGTTGAGTTGAGTCTGCGTGTAGAGATGGCACAAATGTCCTTAGCAGACCTCACTGTCAATATTTTTCTTGTACTGAAATCCTTGCGGTGGATGATTTAGTTTAGGAAAGGGCTGGTCACTGGTTTCAGTTACTCTGTTGATCCAGATTTCTTGAAAATAGATTCTTTGGATGAACGATGTGAAAAAGGCCTAAGTGGTTCTGAATGAAAATACTGCCCAAGAAAAAGGCAATGATGGATTTTAATTCGATTGTTATAATCCTAGTTGTTTTCTTTTGTTTTTTCTTTTTCTTTTTACTGTAATCCACAATAATGTTCGTTCTCGTGTCTCAAATGGTAATCCATAGGTGCTAAACCTAACTCGGAACTACCTAACAAGGCACCAGAGGGATGTGGCACCGCTGATTGAAAAGTATGCAGAGGAGTGGCAGGTGACGGGAAACCCCATCTATCGCCCAATGTGGTGGCTCAATCCAGCTGACTCCATGACCTTTACCATCAATGACCAGTTCCTCATTGGAGATGAGGTCAGTTAATGGAGTTCTGATGATGTGGGATCTAATGCACTTGGCATGTTTTAGCAACTTCAGCCGTATCCTGATGTCACGCATGTGCAATCTCCCTTATACGTATTTATTTTCAGGTCTTAGTGGCACCCGTGGTGGAGAAGGGGGCAGTGCAGAGGGATATATATTTACCTGACGGGGGCTTTCAATGGCAGGACAGTCAGAACGCACGGGTGTTTGACGGGGGGACGTTCTTGCACGACTACCCTGTCCCCCTGACGGAGGTGGCTGTTTTCTTACGGAGAAGCTGACTCGGATGACTGTCCCACAGAGTCACGTGATTTATCCTGTTACTGTTTTGAATCAAATTCTTTTTTTAGGTACTTGTGCTGTTCTTAACTTGCACTTTTCTACTAAAGACCATTGACCCTGCCTCAAGTGCTGCCTTGAGACGATTTGTAGAAATATATACATACATGTATATACATTTTTTTTTTTATACTTGCACTTTATGGTTCAAAATATTTTTTTCCTTTATGTTATTTGTCTTCTTTTCATTTGTTTTTTTTTATGCTGAATGGTTTTACCTCTTAGTGATTTGTTTCTGGACTTTTTCATCCACTCTGCTGCTTTTTTTGTTTGTTTGTTTGTTTGTTTGTTTTCTTTTTTTTAATGGTTCTGGAGAAGTATGTGTGTTTACATACTGCATTTCTACAGTCTTTAAATTTGTAGCTGCTGTTGGCTCTCTTCATAAGGAGGAACAAAGCAAGCTCCTTGTTTGCTTAAAAGTATCTGAATTTCTCAAGAAGACCAAATGAAGATGCAGAAAGACAAGGAAGGCGGTTAAAAGGGCCTTTTGAGAGAAACACTTACTGGCGGGAAATTAACACAGGAAGCTACATACAAGCACCATGGTACCATATGTCTTGCTCACTCTATGGAAAGGCTCTTACTTGAACTCATCAGGCCAAAGGGCCGATGTTTTATGAAAGATGAATGTACCTCAAGTAACGTATATGAATTGCTTTACAAAGTCATTAGACACAACAGCCTATCACCCCATAGTTCATATTCTTAGAATAGTTAAGTCATAGACATCCATGAATGTCCCTTTGTACTGTATGCTGATGAACTTGAGGCCAAGCCACTTTCATCGTAACTTTGCATATATTTAAATTTTAGATTAGAGTTTAACCTGCTGTATCAAGCGCTTTTAAGTGAGTGCCTCTTTCTTTACTGACTGTTGATGTGTTCTTACATGTGAGCCGAATTAAGTTGTAAAGACAACCTTGCTGATGGCACCACATGGGTGAAAAGGAGATTTTGTATAAATACATGTAATCAGACCCTTTTTATCTGATAATCTGACTGTGATATCACTCCCATTCATGAGTAGGAATCCACGAGCAGCAGCTGTGAGGCTCAGTGAAAGACTTTGGACCAGGTATAAAGATAGTTTGGTCCAAAAGATGCAAAATCTGACTTCCAATTGTGCTAAAAATCACTCTTTTGGAGATTTCTCATTTGTCTATTCTGTACAAAAACCGAAATGGAAAAACAAAAAGTTGTATTTTTGTTATTTCCTAAGCCTATTTTACTGAAACCGGTAAATTTATTTTCCAATTTCTATGCAAACATTGAGTGTCTTCAGTTTATAATTACTTGATAGGGACATATGATCGATGTGTCATATGATGGTACTTTTCTACCTACTACTACTCTCACCATAAAAATAAAGTACAAAACTTATATTTCTCCAAATGTTGAGCCACATCAAATAAATACAATGCTCTCAGTTGTAAGCATACCATGTTTGCATATGAGAAATTGGCTTTTTGGAGAGAAACAAAGTATTTGTGAAGGATTCACCTGAAATTGCTGGAATTGTTGAAAGCACAGATGTGCAGAGGCCCACCTGACATAAACCTTCGTGAGTAATTCAGCTTCTCTCCTCATGTGTACCATTACATAGCCTACTCTCTGGACTATCTTTACACTTCTATCACTTTCTTAAGTTTAGTTGTTTACTTGTAAAAGCTGTTTGAACCCAGACTTAATGCTCTAAGCAAATGAAATGTAAATGAGACTGATTCTATTTTTTGATTATGTTTAAAATCAGTCCAAGAAGAGACGTAATCTTTATACCCTGAAGCTCGGCTCTTTATAGTCAACTGTCAGTGTTGCTTTTTTTTTTTTAATCAATTTGTTCCATAAAGGAAAATCTTAAATGGCAAACAGTGAGGATACAAACTCTGGAAACTTAACATTTATCTCAACTAAATTGATTGTGTAACTTTGATCTAAAAAGTTGACTGTATCAGCTCAAACACTCAGGTCTAATGAAGTTTCCTATCAGATCACCGGATGTCTTAGTGCAACGCAGTATGTTGTGAACACATTAACGTCTTAATGTCTCCTGGGGCAGAATATACAATGGACACACTGTGATTTCCCATAGCCCTTCATGTGCGGAGCTTTTCTTTTTCCCATTATATAATGCTGTTATGGAATGCTTTGGTAGGTTAATGTAGGAGTTGCAGGAAAAGCTTTGTTGTGTTATTCCTTCCCTCTACAGACTGAGTGAGCCATGTGCCTTAATATGCCACAAATCTGGACGACACAGGTGTCTAGATTATTGCAGTATCAGCAATGACCGTAATACAATGACTGTGCCATTACAAGTGTTTTTCTCTCTTCTGTAAATCAGATAACATAGAATGACAAAGTTGCAATAAAGTTTACATTTTCTTACTTAACTCATCAAGTTTGCATTTACTTCATGACATACTGGAGGCCACATTCAAGTGGAGCTGCCAGATTTTAATTATTATTACTTCAGAATTTTTAGTTCAAATCCAATCCTGAAGTTTGCACATTTTTTTTCTGTCTTGATGCTGGTTTGTGTTTGACTGTGCAGGCAGTGGCAATCTGCAGTTGCACCGATCAGGCGCAACATTATGACTACTAACAGGTGAAGTTAATAACACTGATTGTCTCTTCATCATGGCACCTGTTAGGGATATATTAGGAAGCAAGTGAACAATTTGTCCTCAAAGAAGAAGCAGGAAGACTTGTCCAACTTGTGATGTAAAATTGCAGTGCTTCTGGGGTGTTCCTGGTCTGTAGTGATTAGTATCTATGAAAAGTGGTCCAAGGAAGCAACAGCAGTGAACTAGTGACAGGTAAGTGGACATGGAGCCCATACTGACCCCTGTCCACTGCCGAAAACACCTACAATGTGAGCATCAACTGGACCCAAAGCAATGGAATAAGGGGGTGTGGACTAACAAATCACATTATGAAATGCTTTGGTAGGGTTCATGTAGGAGTTGCATCACATGATCAGCCAGTTATGGGTGCATTGCATACCTGGGCGATACACGGCACCAGGATGCACTATGGAAACTGTGGCAGTGTGATACTCTTCTAGAAAACCTTGCGTCATGGCATCTATGTGGATGTTACTTTGACACGTTCCACCTACCTCAGCATCGTTGCAGACTTTGATTACAACCTTTCATGGAAACGATATTGCATTCTTCTTTCAGCAGGATAATGCACCCTGACACAAAGCAAAAATGGTTCAAGAATGGTTTGAAGATCACAACAATGACTTTGTGACCCAGATTTCCTATAGTTCAACCCAATGGCTGGACAAACAAGTCCAATCTATGGAGGCCCCAAATCGCAACTTACAGGGCTTAAAGGTGCAAGATACAAGATACCACGCACATCAACTCCAAGGGTCAAGTGGACACCATGCCTCAATAGGTCAGGGCTGTTTTGAAACAAAAGATAAAACAACATCATTTTAGGATAGTGGTCAATAGATTGTTTTTTGTTTGTTTACATGCCAGGGATACTGGGGCATGCTTCAAAACCACAATTAAACATAACAATAATAAATATGTAAAATGAACACATTTTTAATTTCAGAATTCAAATGTATTATTTTTAACAAATATCCTTGTCATCTTGCACACATGTAATCTTATGCTAAGCCCTGATATTAACCCTTTACCCTCTTTCTTCTACCCATGCCAGCAGGTCTATGTCTATATCTGTGAGCAGATACTGACAAATAACATCTGCGCTAATTCCACGTAAACCTAATAAAAGTTATTTATAACCTTGGCGAGTAGGCGGTGGAAGAGATTCTCAGGGGACTCACTTTCAGCCCAGCCTCCGCTGAGCTCCGTTTCCTTACCTTCCTCTCTTGCTGCCACTTGGCTGAGCTCCACCTTGGGGCCCCAGTCCCGGCTCCTTTAGTGCAGTTAGACAGGTGCAGCTGAATGGAGACGTTCAGAGTCCCTCCAAGCCGGCCACCGAACTCACCATCTCCGTTTACACCCGCACTTTAAACACTCAGATTCATGTGGCACTTTTTAAAGTCTGGGTGCAGTTCTCAGCCAGATTAAAATTCACAAGACGTTTTAGTATGGCTCCATGGTTTGTGAGGTGATGAAGATGCAGTGTTAGAGACTTGAGAAGACTCTCCTCCAAGGGACAGCAGAGGTTACAGAGTTAATTTCTTTGCTAAACCTTAAAGGAACTTTAATATAAAGTTCCTTATTTTCAGTTACTAGACAGTTGTTTCAAGAATTCAAGTTGTGTGTACAATAAATCAATTTCATATATGTTCAATATTGATCCGTCATTCTAAACAGTGGATTTCCCACCGTCAGTTCCAGTTTAATGCTAATTCACAGAACAATAGTACAGATCCTGCCAGAAATCCTGTGGTCAAAGACATCCACCCTTAAACTAACATTTAGCAGGAGGTCCAATTATTATATTTTTCCTTGGTCAGTGAATCAACATTTAACATTCAACCCAATTAGTTTGGGGCATAACCAAGCCTTATGTAAGTTGTTGAGCAGTGCAGGAAAAACAAATTGTCCTGCCAAAAACCCAAATCATGAATGACACGAATGATCTACATACGGTAGCAGCAATTAGAACAATGTTATTCTCTACTGTTAACAACTGCCAGTGATTACCGCCAGACAAAATGGAATCATCTCTACCCCTGCATGCATAAATAGCTTATAAAACAGGATAGGCAACGCTGGCTCCCCTCTTTTCTTTGAGGGTGTTTTGGCGCAAGTGGCACATGGTGACAAGCAGAGGCCACAGATCTTTCTCAAAGTCTACTTTTAGAAAGTGCAAGTCAAGGTTTTAGGTGTCAGTGTCTGTTCCCGAGTGAATGGCTTTTCCATCTTGCCAATTAGGTAAGCCAGCGGTTAAAGCTTCATGGTTTTGTAATTGATTGAGTGAGGGTCTTGTAGTTTGAGCAGAGAAGAAAGTCCTTCTTTCATTTGTTAGAATACTAATCAGATGTTCCTTTATGCACAGGAAGTCTGCACAGACTTTATGCTTTTAAAAAACACTTTTGAAAAAGACAAAGAAGTGGCTTTGAAAGCGAAATCTTTTTTTTTTTAAGGCAGGTGCACAGAGAAAGAAAACCGTCATGTGTAATGACTTCTTGCCTGCCCCTCTTTGGAAATCTGTCACCATGCAATGCCTTTAAATGTCTTCAATTTAATTTAGGTTAATTGTTGAATGCACCCTGAACAGCCTTAGTGGAGGGACTTATTAATACCCTCAGAGACGGAACTGATTCCTGGGTGCCATCCACTTGAGCTCAACCACCTGTCCAGATGGCAGGCTAATGCCATCACCCAGCTTCCTTTTTATTAAGTAAACACTAAGCTAAGGAAGGAAAGATCTCATTTTCACACCAGACCAGTTTCAAGAGGTTTACAAATTGTCAGAACTAAGAAAAGCTGATGAACATAGCTATGACCTTTAGATGCAGATGGGGGTGAGACGGTTGCAGTTAAAGTAAAATGCAAACAAGGGATAAACAATCGTCATGGTGCAAAGTACATGACCTTTGGGCTTAGGGGGATTTTGAAATAGGTTACAAATATATCACTTTAGGAACACATACACTTTTATGACTTTATTTATCCATGGTCGCTGGAGGATAAAACACAATAACTTTTGGAAATCCCTGAATATGATAACTATTTTTTAATTAGTAGTAGTAGCTTTGATGCACTGCTCTTTCTGTGACCGGTTTCCTCGTTCCAGCAACTTCCAGGAACCGACCTCACCAACCAGCTGAGGAATACACATTTTTCCTGCACTACTAGTGGTGTATGATGTCCAGTATAGAAGACAAGTAAGTAAAACCTTTATGAATGTGTACAGGGTTTACCTCAAAGTACTGCTATGTTTTAGTGCTGTCTAATGGGAGAATTAAAACATTAGCGCTGTTACAGTAATAACAGTAAATATTGATACACTGTATCAAATATGCTCAGAATTTTAATATAGAAATTTAAAAATATAGAAAGTATTTTTCCCACCTGAGTGGGGGAAAAAAAATACTTGCTAAAAATTGGCCTACATTTGAATGTGCTTTTCAATTCGATTTACTGTGATCATGCAGTAAACATTCTTTAGATAAGATGCTTTGTGCCACACTAAGCCTCTAGATTCATTAGTTTCATTAATAAGTAGTACTGGAACAGGTATACTGAATAAAGTGACCCGTGACCGTATGTAGCTGAGTAAATTACACACAACTTCAGAGAGCAACCAACAATAGCACTCACACTACAAAAAGACTAAATACTGAAATAAAAGCTAAACTAAAATGAGCAAATCTACTCCAAAAACTCCTTAAAGCTAAATTATGCTGAGGAATAAATACACAAAGATTATTAGTCTTTATTTTACTTGATTCTAAAAACTGATGCCATGTCTTTGGCCATAAATCGAACAATTCCAATGACTGTTTCGCAGCCTCCACAGTGGCTGTGTGGTGAGTAAAATGCTTTTCTTTGGAGAGATATGTATTAAGCGTAATAAGCAAAAAGGGACACCTCAGAGGTGATGCAGCCATCTGACATTTACTTTATTGTTCAAACATAATTTGGTATATCAGCTGCTTGTCTTTTAACAATTCTTTAAATTAAAGGCAAACATATACAGCTTCATCTTCAAAAACATGCAGCAGTGTAAACATGAGGTCTAGATAAAACTAGTCTGGGATAACAAAACTGTCATGACAAAAGAAAAGGAAGCATTTTGTCCATGTTTTTTCTTAAACCAGCAAAACCTTAACTTAGGGGTCATCATTTGTGATGATCCGCTGTCAAATAACCAAGATGTGTTAAAATACAGAAGCTAAAACCTGAAAAAATAAATATGATGGACTGACAACATATACATTATTTAAAAAATGCATTCCTATACATGACTAGAAACATGCATTTCTTAAAAAATAGCTGAAGAGAAGAAATGATATCCAACTTTACTGAAGAGACCAAAAAACCGACTATGTGATTTTCTTGACTTAAAAACAACAGCTGCAACACTGCTTTGATATAACCAACAATCCGATTGCTCATAAAAGTTTACAGAATTTTTTTGAGGTGACAAAAGGCTGTACGGGTAGTCTGGAGTTCCTAGGTTTGAACGATAGGGTCAGAGATGGAGTGCGCAACAGAGCTAAAGTACAGTTAATTGGCGATTTCCCCCCCCCTCAACCCCTCACAAAAGAAGTAAAGTCACTGTTGACCTCACGCTGTCAGATTCAATCCAGACGCACACCTCCCTGTCTTACGAACTCTCACTTCAACAGCAAACTTCACGCTATGCTATCTAAGATCTCACTGGAATCACATTGGCATTGTACTGCATTTCAACATCTAGTGTTGCACATTTACATGTTAGCAAAAGCACTCGTTTTCAGTGTTGTAGCCAGCACCCTAGGACACTAGGCCAAGTTAGCAAAACCTGAGTATGAAAACAACGAACAAGAAAAAATCATGTGCCTTTGTCGCCACTTAATAAGAGTCATAGACGCCAAACCTGAACAAAAACACTGGCTGTGCACTTGGAATAAGAAAAGACAGTAGCAACGTGTTGATATTCAACATTACAGTGATGCAAGGCTCGCTACTCTGATCCAAGCTGAATGTTTATAACTTTTGCAATCACAGACACCTTACTTTACTCCTGTCTGTGTGAAATTACTGGGTATAGCTGCTAAACGTTCAGAATCATCCTCTCTTTAAACCTCACTTTATGAAATAATGGAGAGCACACACAGCATGCAAATTTAATGAAATTCAACATCAAGTTTGCTGCTTTGGTCAGTGCTTCAGGAGCTGCAACTGCAAGACATTAAAGAAACTTAAGGACAAAGCTAACGCATTGGATGGGAACAGAAATAAAGATATTGCACCATCATGCAACTTAAAATGCAATTCAAGTATTTGATGATGCCACTGAACAAGCCTTTAGCTGAAATATGTTAATGCAGATTTGATCTCAGACGCCCTTTCTGCCCTTTTTACATTAGTGGGTCAGTAAGGCACCGGTATGTACAGTCTTGTGAAAAAAACCAAAACCAACTTTGATCTGTGCATTACCTGTACCCAACACCACCGGTTACTCGCTACGCCTAAATATACAGCTTACATAAGTTCCTTGCAAACGTATTAACGATAATGCTTCCTTTCAATCATCCTTATTTTTGTAACATCAATTAACATAAATATAACCTCTAAACCAACAAGTGACTCTGTACAACCTTTTTTTGAATATATGTTACTCATAGCCTTCCACCAGCAAAGACAGCCATCACTTGGAAGCTTTGTTGTTGAGCTCAAAGAGACCCAGGATGTCCAGCATGGCCTGTCTGATGTTGGTCCCAAAACGATGCGAGTCCTAAAAAAACAAAAGAAGAAAGAAATGCAGAAGATTCCAGTAAGCTTTTTCATTTAAAATGGCCATTAAAGAAGAAAAAAAATGGAAAATTAGTGAACTTACAGTTTCTGGGCTTGAGTGTTTGCTGGAGATGTGGAAGTTGATGTGGTTCTCACCAAGAATGATGTAGGAGATGCCATAACCATCATCAGCCACCTTGTGGGCAAAGAAAGCGAGAGAGTAGACTCTGAGCTTATCCCATACACAGTAATACATTTTTATTGCTTTAATATTTCAACTTTTTTTCTAATTTAAGGATTATACAACCTTATGTGTTTTGTTGCAGGAAAACTAACACAAACAGCTGTTAAAGACACTGTGAAAGCTGATGGACAACTTACTGGACCAAAACCACCTCCAGAGGACACATATTCTGGGTGTCTGACCAGATCGAACAGCTCAACCTGCTGCAGAGGAGTCTGGCTGGTGGATAGCTTCCATGGCTCAGACAGGACCTAAATGTAAAGATTTATGAAATCCACAGATTAAGACACATTATTGTATTGGTCGTTCGCTCGTAACTTTTTTCTATGTATGAAAAAGTTTATAAGAGCAATTATGGGCATTATTCGAGTACCTGTAACACACAAAACTTGTGAAAAGAAGCTCATACCTCCTTCAGGAAGGGTGAATCCTCTCCGAGGTATTTGGAAACCACATAGAGGCAGAAAAGGTGGCGATCGATGCCCTGTCCTGTCATTGCCAAACGGTACAAGTTTTGGTGTTTTTCTGCCGCCAGCTTGAGCAACCTCAGACGCTCTTCTCTCTGTAGAAAGAAATACGAAAGGAATAGAAGTGAAATATGACAAATAGTTTAATAACACAATAACAATAATAAAGTGAAAAAACAATAAGTAAAAAAAATCGGTAGCACATAAATGAAAGGAGGGGACTTACTGTCTCATCTCCGACCATGGCACGAACAAAGGCACAAGTCTCCACGGTGCAGGAGCGCACCGTTTCTGTTCGACCTTCCCTGAACATACGAGTCATGGAGGCTTCATAAGTCAGGCAAAACTTCCCTTTGTCCTGTTGAGAGAGTAGAATTACATTTAATTAAATCACGATTAAAAAGAGAAAACATTTTATGTAAATATATTTTTTTATGCATTAACAGTAGAAATGATTACAAAGGCCTGCGGCTTTTAGGAGGTTTATGTATTATTATTATTAGCTATTAATTAAAATGGTGTGACCAATTAAGAAACATACCACAACTAACGTGCAACACCAATGTTTTGTGTCATATTATTAATTAAAGTGCAACATGAATAATTAAAAATAAAAGTTTTAATCCACTAAACACTGCTTGACTGCCTACAAATCTATGCTGGCCAGCTAGTTGTGACTGCCCTCTGCTGGAACTTAATTTAATTGCATGCGGCTGGAAAGCGCTGGCTTCTGAGAAGTTACATCTACACTTTTAAATATGAGATTGATTTTATAATATTTTCTGTAATATATATATAAAAAAAACTTATTTCAGATAAGCATATGAACAGGGAAAAAAAATGGTAGGATGCGGGAACTTACTCTGTAATGGGCCAGCTGCAGGGCAATCTGGATGAAGGCATCAGGACTGGTGCGGCATTTCTTAATCAGCCCCTTTCCAAAGTCAGTGAAGGGGATAATGTGACAGTCCACGTCATCTGCCAGAGCTTTGGCTACTGTCAAAGAACTCTCGATGGCCTCCTGGCACTAGAGGAATAAAGGGAACATAACTGTATGTTTTACTCAGACAAAAATATCTATTTATATATATGCATTTTATGAAGAAACGTCAAGATGATTAAATTATTAGATTAGTTTTAGAAGCTATTTAAATCCAAAAAATAACATCCAATAAACAAGCATCTATATAGTTAATTACATCCACTCTGGTGTACTTAGCTTATGCTTCCACAAGAGGGAATCCAAGTTCTGCTAATATAAAATTATGGTGTAAAGTAAAAGATTTTCTACCTCAGCAGGGATGGTCCACTGCAGCCTTTGAGGGCCGGGCAGGTTAGGATGGGGCTTCCCAACACAGTGACCATCTTCAGTGTATCCCAGCTTTGGATCCATGGAAAGTACATGCTGCAAGAGAGTCAACACTTTAACTCATCTCACTCAAAAGTTTCTGCTGTTTTTCTTGCAATGTCTTCTTGCAATTTTGCTTCTGTACACCACCACGTACACTAATTTTAAATTAAAAATCCTTTTTAACACTTGGATTAAAAAAAAAAAAATCAGTAAATAACTGAATGAGTTACTGAGTCACTTAAGATGCTGTGTTAAGCATTTACTGCAGCAGTAACCTTCAGATGCGGCTTGCATGCTTAAAAGCACGCTCTATTAAGTTGAGATCTACGGCCTGAGATCTACGGTAGTTCACTTCTTGCAGGGTATATTGCCATGGTAACTTATGCTGTGAACTGTTCCAGACCAGCAGGTATGAAATCACCACCTACTGAACAATTTTCTCCAGAAAATAGCGTCACCATTCCTAGAAGTCTCTTGGACAGTGCGGGGAGTGTAGGAGGGTCTAAAGTGTTTCAGTAGTGTCTAAAGTCTGTTTCCCTGATGAGCATCAGTAATAAATTCAGAAGCAGCTTTGTTGGCCACAGTTTTGCAATAGTAATTTGTTTTTCTATAACATATGATCCTAAAAAGGGACATATCAAATTTGCATGTAAACTAAGCCTATGTTTGAATTTTGTTTTCATATTCAAACTTTACTGCCAAACGTCACTGCAGTCTGCAGAGACTCCGTCATCTGGAAGCACTTATTCTTTTATTCACAGCATGTTTAAGTGTGATATAGATTCTCTGCTGGGGATATATATTATATATATATGCAGCTTGTGAAGTCTTAATAAAACTTCTGAACAAAGCACAAACTGTGCGTCACATTGTCACAGGAATGTCCATGCATTAATCTGTTGATTTAGAAAATGTTCTTCTGCTTCATTCTAATCTGCTGCCAAGTCTCTTTTACACTACTGGAATTGCAGCTATTGTAGTAAGTTTGTAGGTGACACTCATAGGGATCATTTTCTGTAGAAGAATAATCATATGATGACTCTTAGATTGGTTAGATGCTGCCAGCAGCACCACAAGCTGATAACCAGCTTCATGTGAATGCTTATCCTGATTGCCAAGGCTTAGAGTAAGTGAATCCAGATAACAGAAAGGTATCCTGGGCATGCTGAATTCAGCAGTCAGGTAACCCTGTTCCACTGGCTGCCATACATGTCCATCATAAACTGTTTCTCTCTTTCTCCATACTTCCCATTCTTCCCATCATTCTGGTACAAGTTAAGCTCGGTTTCATCTGTCTACATTTTTTTTCCAGAAATGTGTAGGTCCTTTAGATGTTTTATGACGTACAAGTATAACTTGACCTTGTTCTTAAGTATAACAAGTGCACTTTTTGCAAATCCTCTGCATTTACCTTCATGAAGGCATCTTTAGATGGTAGATTTTAACAATTTTAACAATAACACGTCTACCTCCTGACTTGGCTGTACTGGTTGTCTTTAGTAGTCGTCCAGGTGTTTTGGTGTTGCTCACCAGTAAATTACTCATTTACTAAGACATGAATGCATCAGACTGTTGGTTTGGTTACTTTTAACGTTTTTGCTCTGATTCTTTTGATCTGTAGTGGTGCAGAGTTAAAATGACAAAACTTGTGCCTAAATATTTACGGCTTTAACTATATAATATTTCTTGTGATATTACGAGATACCGTATTTACTTTTTTCCACAAAACCAGTGACTTACCTCCCACAGATGGCCAACAATCGGAGCATCTGCCCAGGAATGCTCTGCATTCAGTCCCATCGTACCATTCTTGTAAACTATCATATTAAAGGACTTATCAAACCACCTGAAGGGTTACAAAATATTATTAGGTTAATTTGCAAACAGGTTAATGCCACAAACCTACTGAAAATTGGCCATAAAATCTATGAAGTTTATCTCCACCTGTCGTAGCATTTTCCATGGAGCAGGGACTTGGCATAAATGTCCAGAGACTTGACTGGGTTTTTTGCATCGTAGCGCTGCTCTGTATCATCGAGGGTGAGGAAGAAGGCTGCCTTTTCTACAGCATCCAGAGACTGCTTGTTCTTTCCACGGCTGAAGAACATCTCACGGGCCTTTGCCCACGGTGTCCTAACAAGGTAAAAACAAAAAATATGTTCAAAAAGTAAAGCATAGACATAACTGCATGAGTGTAAAATATGTTCTTTTAATCTTTCTAACAGAAAGCATATAAAAGCTGGAGCTAAGTGTCATTTTACATAAATACGCGTACATTTTTCTTTGTCAGTATGAGAAAACTGTGAGCCGTCAACACCACACTCTTTATTACTCCGTAAAAATGTATTTTACTAAGCTTTTAGAAAATGCTTGTGAAATCGCTTTTAATTAAATTGCTTTTTAATTACAGCTGCACTTCAAACAAAACAAGTTAGTGGTTAATCTTGTTGCCATGCTTGAAATATGATACATGCCCAGGCCCATATTATTAGCCTATTTTAACATGACTTTGATGTCTCTTTGATTTCAGGTTTATTTTCTTTATTTCAAATAGCAATTTGCAATCACATTTTTAATTTCTTAAAATATATCTTTCAAAATAAAGTTTAAGTTCTACTAGGAGTTTTTGAAGAATACCAAACTCACTGATTCCGCCTATGACCACTGTAAATGTCCACGCATTGCCTACATTGCTGTACTTCCTGTCATGCTACAGATTAAAAAGTAAAATTGTGTGGCCTCATCAATCCTGGCTCCAGCTTATTCTGCAATGATACCCACCTATCCCCTGCAGTGAGTGCTGCTAGTCTCTCCTCTCCTGGCAAGGGCTCCGACTTGTCTGCCAAGATCCTCTCCATCTGCTGCTCGATCTCCCGTGGCAACAGCAGCCGGCCATCATAAAACATCCACACCTTGAAGTAACGTCCCTTATGGTACACAACTATGTGTTTGCTCTCATTCACGTGCTGAAGGGTGTCTAGTGGAGAAAGAACAATGACAGGAAGAGAGAAAACAGGAAAACAAGAAAGACAGATGAAGAAAATCTGTGGTTGTGGGGGAGAAGGGTATATTTATATTTGTACATGTGTTGTGTTTTTTCTTTTTAAATAAAAGAACTTGCATACCACACATCATGTGGGTGACTTGTGTGTATAATCAGAAATGCATGTTGTTTAATGCCAACATCTTTGTGAAAAAGGAGAAATAACTATAGAAATATCAAATATCAAGTGGATGTTGCATTATTTTATTTCTGGTAGCAATACAGATGTTAGTGAACAGTAATTTGCCCCAGAAGTAAAAAGATGTGATATCCAGTTTTCTTTTAAAAGAAAAACATAATTCATTTACACAATACAAAAACTAAGGCGGGTTGAAATGAGGAGTGCAGCAAGTGGGATGAAAAAGGGAAGGACTGGGAACAAGAATGTAGTTGGGAACACAATGCTTGTTTGAACAACAATGTGAACAAATGTGGGAAGCCAGTTTCAAAGCTTTACTTGCATAATCTCATTGCTACTGTGTTATTTTACTACAAATTTGGAGCTTGAGCACTCAAACAAGCAATGTACTTGGTACTGGTAGGATAAAGGGAAACAAATACTTACACCAAGAACAAGCCAAATAATAATATTTAGCCTACTGTAGTTTCTTATAGTAAGGACCTCCATCAGTATGAGTATTCTGGGCCCAGTATACCACAGGGCTGAATTGGAAAGCCGTTCTAATCACTGCAGCAACTCAGATCTTTCTGCTTACAAAGACACTGAATACAACTTATTTTATTAAATTTATTTTTAAAAGCACACTACATTTTTCTATTTTTTAAATGCCTTCAGTCTAAAAAGGTAGCGTTAAATACCTTCTGCTGGGTCCCATGTGGCTGCTAAGCAACACAATTTATTATTATTGTACATTTATTATTGTCTTGGCCTCGAGTCTTTCAGGTTTGAGTTTTTAAACTTAACTGCTCGTAATCTTGATTAGAGGATTTTTACCTCTTCTAAGAAGCTTATATTTTTTGTAGTAGTTGCGTGCACGTCATTGTGCCTGTAAACACGGCACCTCAAAAAGTTTGGAATGAATCAAAGTAAACACTTGCTGATTTTCACTGCTTTACTTTACTTCTTAAATTACGTTTAAAAAGAATAATTTTATGTATTACAGAAATTCAATCTACAAGGCCAGAACAATGTAATCTGATCCATTTTTTTATAAAGTTTCCAATTAAGTCATTTTAAAAACAGGTAAAGTCATGTACTTTAAAACAAATGAATACATCCCACTGTTTTTGACAGCATTGTTTTAGTTAATTGCAGTTTGCAGGATTTTTTATTAATGTATAGCTCTCTTTGGGTCCTGACACAGCAAAAAAAACCGTTATTTTCATATTTATTTTCTAACTGCACTGTCATGAATTTTAACATTTAACATGCAAACTAAGAGTAGACTCTGAGATGTAGCTCTTGTGTTTTTTTGCACTTTCTATGACCATTGCACGTTCTTATCTTGGGGTTAATTTGCTGAGGCATCCCTTCTTGGGAAGACTGTGAGACTGTGTTAACACACAGCAGAATATTCCAGACCAGCAAGCAGAAAGAAAACAACAAGTTCTAAATTTATACAGGTGATCACACTTGTTAATGACAAATTAATCACATTTGATTAACTGCACCTGTCTACTACTAACTCCTTTAATTCCTATGGCAGCAGTAACAGTGTACTTAATGTTTTCCAGGACTGTGAAAACATTATTCTTATAATTCTTTCGTAAACTGTGTATTATAGTAAATACATATTCTGCATATTTTATTTGCATGAAAAATATACTTCTTTTATTTATTTATCTAAGACTGTTTGTCTTCTAAAACTTATGAACTATATTTCAGTGACATGCAAATTAGTCCTAGAATGTGCACACAGCAGCACACATGCATTATCAATTCATAGAGGTCAGACTTCCAACTCAAACTGATGGACAAATGTCCTGAGGAAAAGTACAGTTGGAGTAGAGGAGGCGCCAGCTAAAGACTCTACCTGTTTCTACACCTGGGACACGAGTCGTGTTGAACATATGCTCGTATTGGGCTGAGCACATGGGAATAGTGTGTAGGAGCATGAGCTGAAAAGCAAAAGGGGAGAGTCAAACACAAAGAGATGACAAACTAATTTACTAAAATCCCAGAGAGAGCCGCAGCAGACACACACCTACATGACCAGGAGACTGGATGAAGTGCAGTGGGAGTGATGAGGATTGGTTTGATAAGCAAGGTTTCCAGGGAAAGAGACATGAGCGGAGTCCAGAAACCAGTGGCTTACTATCTCAAATACACCAGCAAAGCCCTGATGCAACAGTATTTTTTAAGAGAAATTTGAAAGCTTTTAGAATATTGTGACATAATGTATCACCTAAACAAATGTGAACATTCCTATGTATTAAAGCCAATAACAGCACAGGGCTGTGCTGATGAGAACGAGTATAGTAATCAGGGTTTCCAAAGGCTATTGCAATGAACATGACCAGGGTCACAGGGGAGAGGGGGGAGAGGGCACGATGGAGACGTGCCCTCCTCTTACCTGTCTCCAAACCGGGGATGCGGGAGGTGTTAAACATTCTCTCCCACTGAGCTGAACACAGAGGAACCTTGTTCGCCAGCAAGTATATCTAACGCAGCGTCCGGCACAAAACAGTAAAACAGAGACAATCGAGTGTGAGTCTGTAACAGAGCTAGCTCATGCAATGGTCTTTGCATAAATGCATACAGTTGGATTTGGTGAAAGGTAAGTGGGCATTTTCACAACATATTTTGCTATTGTGCAAGTGTAAGAATTTGCACTTAGGCATCATGCAGCTTGGTGAAGGCAAGGGGCTGACGGGGATGCAGGAATAAATGGCACTGGGGTGGGTTAGTTTCTTTACTAAGCTTTTAGAAAATGCCTGTGATATTGCATTGTTGGTAATTACAACTGCACTTCAAACAAGCAAGCAGAAAGCACAGTGCATGGTTAGTTACGGTGAGCTGAGGGTGACAGAGTATAAATATAATAATTCGTGAGACTGTGGATAACAAACTTACATCAAAGCACACAAGAAATGGTCGTTAAAAGATAAGCAGCTTTTCAATGTAAACTTAAAAGGAAAACACACTGAGATAATACCTATTAATCAGTAAAGTATGAGTTAAATATTTACATGGAGCCAGTGTGAATGAGTAGGAAATTTATATTACAACTATGTACGCTTCACATAGTTCAACAAATCATTAAATGTCAAACAGAGGAGCTCTGTACTCACAGGTTTGATCTGAGCTCTGTCCAGTTTTCTCCTGTACAGCATGATAGAATGAATGGCGTTACCTGCCCTGGCAGCCTGGACGGAGGTCGGGAACACGTACAGGAAATCCTGGAGAAACAGAGATGATCAATAAGAAGTTCTCACATCTTCCTACAGCTTGTGAGGCAACAGAAACATAATAACTACCACTTAAGCTGCACATTTAACCTGTGCATTAAAAAAGTCAGATTGTTGCTTTGTTTTAACTGAATCTTTGTTCATCGTTGGTAAACACAAATGTGTGACCAGTTTTGAAGGTGCACTCAATGTGGAGTGAGGTGTGTACCGTAGTGCAGTGAATCCTGTGCTAAATTCTTGGCATTGTTATTGTTGTAGTTCCACCGATAGATCACACTAAGCAAGTTGCCAACGTCTTATCTAAAGCTGTGCACTTGTACTTTTGATAGCTGATTAATTTATTGAGTAATATGTTGTTCTAAATATTACAACAATACCATAAACATTTGCAGCTCTGTTTTGTTTTAACCTGTTGTAGCACCATTAGTCTTTCAAATATGTAAGCCTAAAGACTGAGATGGCTCATCTGGGAACAGGGACAGTATAGAAACTCCTTCCTTCTTGCTCTCTTACTCACAAGAGAATAATCTACACATCTGACAATTTTTTTCCACTAGATGCCTTTCGTTTCCAACACTTTCAGCAATTTGCGCTTCGACTTGTCTCAAACCACAGACTTTTCGAGATGTTAGCCGAATGTGTTATCCACTAAATTATACATCTGGCAGCACGTGTGGTTTTAATTTTTGGACACACTGGAGTTGTGACTTAATTAAGAGGATGAGTTGTTTACTATGTCAGATGATGAGAAAATGTGTCTTTTATGTCAATTTACACTTTGCCTATTCATACTGTATTGTCTTAAAAAAGAAAATCCAAAGAAAATGATCTTAGGTGTGATCTAGATTGTACAACTCAGTCTGCAAACTGGTCTTTGAACTTGAAGTCTGCAGCTAGCTTAAATCAAACCTCAGATAATGTGTTGTTCTTACAACAGGTAAAAGCTAGAATTGATACAAATGCAATCTGGCCTTTGATTCATTGTAGTTATTTTGGTCAAAGACAATTTGCATAGAGTATAAAGAGGGTTTGTAAGCAAGAGCATGGATCCATTTTTGTTCCGGTTTTAGTGACAGATTTACGATTAACAACTGCACACAACTGACACATTTGCAGTGTCCTGACTTTGTCACTGATCCAGGTAAAAAAATGGGAGGTTTAGATTTATGCAGACACTGCGGCCAGTCAACCCATCCACAAAGTACAGATGCTGTAATTAGGTGATTGGCTGCCAGGATTCTGAAGACTTGACGTCTTTAACTCCAAGACTACAAGACTTCAGCTATAACTTGCCCTGAGAAATTATAATAAAGTATATTATTACTCGTGGACACACGAGGGTTAATGTTGCAGAATGCATATCATTAGGGTACATAGAAAGATTTCAAGTTATTAAACACTAAGTTACAAATTAGATTATGTGTGTAGCACAGAAATACTCTCATTCAAAAGCCAAATATGAAAATCGAAGTTAAAGGAAGACAGTTGAGTTACATTTTAGACAGTTCACACGTAGAAACAAACTGAAAGTGTTCGTTCCATTCATTCAAAATCATAAACTCAGAGGTCGTATTTTTTGTTATTTGTGCTGTTCTTATCCAGTATATATATAGTAGCAATAAATAAATTAGTCTCAAATGTTGAGTTTCGTTTTGCAGATAGTGCCGTGAAGCTGCTCGAGTGTTTGCGTTACAGTTTTTTTCTTTTACAACACTGTGTAACAAGTATGTCACAAGATAACTGCTGATTACTCTGCAAAACTTAAAGATCACACACAAAGAGTTAATAATTAAAAGGCTAAAAGGGTTTGTATGCAATTCACAACCATCCACGCTTTTGGGGGTCAAAGTGGTGATAAACGGGTCACGTTAAAATGAAAACTGCTCAAATTGGAGCTTTTGGGATTTAGCCAGGTGTCAGGGAAAAAAATAAAAACCCACACACAAAATGCCTTCAAACACTCAGACCATCATGAGGAGACTACCTCACTATTACCTAACGGAGGTGGAGTTGCCTTACCATGGCATAATAGTTACTGTTCACCATGATAGGTCCACGGCCTCTCAGGTAAATATACTCTTCCCACCAGTCACTGACCTGTGACAGGCAGAGAGAAGGGGGGGAACAAACAGAAGTTTTCAATGCATTGCTTTTCAGGGTAAGACTGACCTAAGAATCATGACAGTGTGAAAAGTCAGAGAAGAGGAACTCACATAGTTGGACGCCCACCAGGACTTGAGTTTAAGGTACCACTGCAGCCTCGGACCCAGATTCTTCTCAAAGTCTTGAGTCAGGCCTTTCATTCGTTCAAACTGCTGATCATCCATCAGTGGGCGCACTGACTCCAAGTACTGAAAACACCAGAAAAATCAAGGTAAGAAAGAGTGAAGCAAAGAGTATCTGACTTAACAAAGAGCACAAAGGGCAGGGGGAAAAAAAGGAGCACACAGTGTCTTCTCAGACAGACAATCACAGGCAAGAAGATCACTTTCCAGTCACTGCCCTGCACCACAGAGTCAAAGCCTGAGGGAATGTGTAAATGAAGTTAAATCAGTACCTTTAAGGCTTTTTTGTTTACATGCAGTTCCAGTATATTGCATGTTTGGTTTTTTTTTTGTTTTGTTTTTTTTTGGGGGGGGGGGGGGGGGTAATCTTAACTGGTATCCTCAATGAAAACCTAGAAGTTTTTTGCTCTTCAAAATGCAACTTTGGTGCCAGTCCAAAGCCTAGCACCTTTATCAGCATGATCATCAATGTAGATAAAAACACCAGATAAGAAATTACCCTTTTGCAGGTGTCCTTGATAGAAGGAACAGGTAGTCGTGGCAGAGAGTTCTGGAAACTGTACAGCATTGGTTTCCGGCCAGAGAACACCTTCACTAGAACCTGGATAAGCAGAGAGATAAGGAAGTTTGAAGTGATGTTTTGCTTCACCTGGAAACCAGCAAGGTACGAGGCAAAGTCCAAAGACATAACCAGCAGTAAATAACAAGATGACACAAGTAGCACTTTGAGTATGGCCTCCACAAGATTTGCATTGTATCTCTGCCTGGACCTAATTGTCATAGCAAGTGACTAATTTTTGAACCTTAATAGCATTATAATTTAGCAATAATTACCTGCTGTTTAGAACTCATCTTATAAGTAAAACAAGCACACATGATTATAATAATGTTTAAAATATAGTATAAAACCTCAGCCCTGTTTAATGTAGAACATTTTATTCAGCATATGACCAGTGAAGACACTCACAAGTGCTTAATAACACTGTTGCAAAAACAGCATTGTTTATTCAAGGCAATAAGGTCAATCTCTATGACATTCTACCAATTAGCTCCTCTTCAGTGACTGGAACAATGGAGCACATTATCTCACCATCCAAATGCGACTCGACCAGGACAAGGAGCCATGACGTTCTTCCATCCATCCATGCCATGACAGCAAGGACTTGAGGACAGTCCTCATAATCATTATTATGGTAACCCACAGGCTCGTGCCCACTAGAATTCCTCCGACTATCCTCTGGCTGTCTGTGGACATATATCGGCTGTGGACAGAGAACAAAACAGGAGGAAGGACAATATAATGTTAAAAATTTAACTGCAGAGTGGACACAAATTATGGTTTTGCTTAATAGGGCTTTACAAGACTAAGTATGTTTTTGTAAGTTAGTAATCTAACTGAAGAATAAGTAAAGTGCTATGATGTTCAAAGTCATTGTATAAACAATTAATTATCAACCTTGGCCAAATGAGCAATCTAAGACAGCACTACACTACAACAGCGTAGTGAAAACATGGGGCAATTACTGTCACACAGCTACTTCCTGACTTGGCGATGTCCAAAGTCAGCAAAGACAGACTGACTCATGACTGATAAATGATGTATGTTATTTGCTCTGATAGGAGGACTAAAACATTTTGATGAATTTACTGTCAGCAGTAAAGTCCTAAACCGCTGTTATGTAGTGTAGCCAAGGTTAATGAGGACAGATCTGATCATGCAGTAGATTTTTCTGTATTTGTAACTTAAAGGTTTCAAACATTTTAACACCAACAGGTTGTACTTGTTACTAAAACAAAAAAGAAGGTTCCAGTACTCTTAATATTTCAGACATTCTTCAATAAATTAAAAAAAAAAAAAAACACTATCAAAGAACAGCCGACTTGACTTGAGAGCACTGTGGATAAGAAAAACATTAAAGGCTTTGCGTGTTCAAGACATGGTTGCACAGTATTACTAAACATGATCAACATTGTTGGCAAATTATAAAATCAGTTGTGGCAGGTAGCTGGAAGAAAATGTGTAGCAAACAGACTAGTTTACAGACTCATGTAACACACAGACCTGTATGAAGCATGCGCATTATTGCAAATGTTGTAACATCTTTAAGTATGAGTCAAACACACTCCATTGCCAACGCATTTGGCAAAATACCTGCTTCCAGCCAAACAACACCTAGCTAATTCCCACTGCATTTGTTTACCTGCTTTCTCACTTATCATTGTGCCACTATGTAAAGAAATGCGCATGGTAGTTAGGGTTATACTTAGAAACAATCTACTTTAGAAAACACTAATAAAAGTTATTATTTTTTAATAGGAAAAAAAATGTACAAAAAGCCATATAATACCAGGATATCACCTCGTGGGATCAGCTTACCTGATGGGCATATGCTGACCCAGCTTGGTAAACAGCCCCAAAGATGGATCCAGCTGTTTAAATTTATTGTAAGCCATGTAGGACCCAACCACTATGGAGAACCCAGCTGGGCTGCCCGGGTACACACCAGTCATTATCCCATTCTGTGGAAATGCAAGTCAAATTGGGGATTAAAGAGGTCATATAGGGCCAAGGAGATAAAATTAAATTACTTCATAACATGTTATCATGAGTCATGAGGATACATGTGACAAATCATTAATTACATACATGAAACAAAAGAGGAATGTGTGAAAATGCTAGCAGGTCTTTGGGTTTGAGTCATTCACTATGGCGGTGTGTAAACAGATAACTAGGCCAAAGGCTAGGACACAAAGAACGGGCAGGAATGTTAGTGTCACAGCTGACTGTTTGTGTGAGAGTCTATGACCTTCTAGTGTGAGCAACCTAATAAACAACAAAGAATTACTTGGGATCTTGTAATGTTAAATAGAAAAGAGCTGTAATGTTGTGTGCATAGCCATTACTATACATAAAACCTCTGAACTTTGCTCTTTGGTTATTTTAATGCCTCCCACCTTGAAGCGAACAAATCTTTTCTTCCAGGAGTGGATGCCAGAGAGGTAGACTTGGCGAAGAGCCTCATGAGACAGGTGTAGATCAATGCCTTCAGGGGTGACTGTGAACTGAAAGGCCACCGCCTGGTGCGCTTCTGCCATGGTGGCTACTGATGTACAGGGTCACTGAGGACAGTAAGAGCAAACAGTAATATTAGCAAAGTGAGAGTTTGAATAAAGTTTATGCCAAAGATTTAAGGACCATGTCAATCAACAACTGATCCAAATCTTCATTCTTGTTCCTACAAACTCTTCTTCACACAGCTAAACACAGATAGTAACTTCAAGAGTGGTTACACACTACAAGGTTCAACACAGCGTGTTGATCTCTAGACAAGGCTGTGAATGATTGGTGTAAGCCAAATATCAGAACTATCCCTCAGCTTCTATCAGTGTCTTGAAAGCATTTGTCCAACACTGCCGATTATCTACCATTTTTAGATGTAATCTGTTTATCTGCAGGGAATCAGCCACAGGGTTAAAAGGGTTGCTGCTGGACTTCTAAAACAGTTGAATGCAGTTTCACTGACACCTGCACAGTCACTCACACAATCTAGGTTTAAAGGCAAAACTAGTGCTAGTTTTAAATGTGGAGCAGTTGTGCACAAGCACAAAGCAATCCATCTGTCATGTGAGGAAGCACCGACACAAATATTTTTAAAAACCCACTTCAAAAATAGAAATTGTGACTAAAGCACAAATCATTTTTAATTATTATTATTACTTTTTTGCATTAGAAAGAATTCACAATGGGCACTGCTCTCAGCTTGGTAAGGATCATAAAAAACTGTGTATCCCTTTTAGCAACTGTTGTGATTGGATTAGCGTCCTTCACAAAATGAAAGTCATGTGTATGTTTTTAACTAAACAGGCTCCTGCAAACTGAGATCAGAGGCCACACACAGGTGGGTGACCCCTTACAAATGTCTGAACTCTGAACTGGTTATACTGGTAGTCCAACATAACTGATGTTTGGCATGAGGCCTGTCTTGTTTTAAAACCGTCAACCCTAGTCAAGATATGGCTGCATAAATAAATAAAGTAAATCTTTTCAGCTACCATAATTATCTACCCCACCCATTCGTTTTGGAAAAATTTGAAACTAACTTGTCTCAGTAAAAGGCAACACTGGGAAGTAACCTTGATCAAAGCAATGTCTGGTCTATTGTATTTGAACAAGTGGGTCTTCCAGCTTACTTACTATAAAAGACTCCATTGTAGTTTGTATATTTATGAGGCAACCAAGAAAACAATTAACATGATGCTTTTTTATGAACAAATGAGAACCAGTTGCTAGCGCCCTGGATATATATTTTTATTTAGATTTAATTGTTTCTTGCTACAAACAGAAAGCAACTGAATTAAAAATGCTTTATTGGCTTAGAAGAAACATGAATGAACTTGACAAGCTGTGCACAAATTCTGTTATATTTTAAACATAGTTTATAAGACTTCCTCAAATAATTCTTCTAATACACAGATCATCTGCTTTGTCATAAATTTACCATGGAATAAACCTGAAAATGACTAGCATGATTCAGGTTTTACAGATTCAGAAGAAAATTAATGAAGCCCTTATTTCCAAAGAGATGTCTCTCTGCAAAGACCATCTTCTTTTAAAGGATTTCTATCTTTTTTCCTTTTTTTGTTACAGGGTCCACTTTTATTTCATTCAATGAGAGCACTCTGAAAGCAGTACACGTCGCTTCTTCCACTCCTCTGAAGGAACAGCATCCACAGAGCAGCGTTTCAGCAGCCAGTCCCCTCCCCCCAGCTACTTTCCAACATCACATGATCCACCCTGTGCTGCAGAAACTAGGGGAAAGGTCGCAGCACAGCGCCGCTTAGATGCCGCGTAAAACTGGCAACACAGTACTCAAGAATCGTCCTGTGCCACCCAGCACAGTCAAATGTGGTAACAAAGGAGCCACTGAAAACATAGCCTTTGCTGTGGATGTCGTATAACCGGCGATAAACATTTAGGTCTTTGCAACCATTGCAACTAGCCCTTGTCTTTATGCAGTTACTGTACTACTGTCTGCATTATCATTATGGCTGCAAACACCACACTCACCCCATAAAACCAACCGTCATTACCGAACACTTACAGGCTCATAAGCTAGGCCCACATATGCCGGTTACATTTGTAAAATTATATCAAATATCCTCCCACGTGGTCTAAGTGAAATTAGGTCACCAGTGTGTAACCTGGACATAAACACAGTACGTGTTATTTATTTATAATAACAAATAATTAACCCTCCCGGTCCTATAAATTGTGTTTTATTGTAGTTTATGAATGTAAACACGCTCCTACAACAAGGACACCACAAGCCAGCTTTTGCTGACCTTCACAGGTAGGTGACATTTATACCCACACCCTTCACTACATGTGTCCTCTGGTGCAATCAAATAATTTGCTCTCTAAGGTTCACGTCCGCGTTACTCTACATTACAGTTACATGCGTTTTATAATGCGATGGCCACTAAAAGGCCTTTATTTGGACTTTTGCCGACATAAATGTTAGGAACAAGAACATAGGAATCACCAGGGGAGTCGAACATGAGAAGCAATATCAAAAACAAAGAAAGAAAGAAAAGTCATGACAGGTGAAATGTTTATATTCATACAGATATGCAGTAGAGGCCTCTTTGACATGCATTCCCATGACCTGCTGTTAAAATAGCTTTGAGTGCAATGGACCGTTTCAGTGGTTTAGGCAGGATGCTTACATTGAAGTTGATCTCTGGTTTCTGTAGGCCAAGCTGCCACACAGAAAACCTGCAGCTGCGTGAGTGGGTGAGGGAAATGGCCTGAACGCCATGCAAACACCTCACAGCTCCACACACTACGCCGACAAGGTACTGCAACAAATTGACAGTCACGGATTTCACTTGTCTAGCCTGTAATATTTCCCCCCGTAGCGCACGTAGCTCTGCATTTTCCCCAACTAATTCCAAAGGAGCACAGAAGAGAGACGGAGAAAGAAAACAGTGTCATGAGAGGCCGCTACGCACTAAGAAAAAGAAAATACGCACAAAGCTTTGTTGTCAGCGTGGAAGAGCAAAACTTACAGTTGTGAGGAGGATGTGACTCTGGCTGGCTGTCGGCAGGAACTGCTAACGTTTAACACTCCTTATGAATGAGAGCGCAGACTTGTATACACGGACTGCCCATTTTGCTACGTCACATATCTCAATTTTCGGCGGCCTCCATATATAAAGGTGGTTAAAACAGCGCCCCCCTGAGGACTCCCGCTCTAAAATTCAAATTCAAATTTTTATTTGTCACGTACACAGTCATACACAGTACGATATGTAGTGAAATGCTTGGACAACTGCTCGTGACCTAAAGAAAACAAAAAAGGAAAAGGCTATGAATAAGATAGGAAATAAATATGAAAAATTAAAAAGGGTAAATTTAACTAGGAAGGAATCAAATATAAATTAAGGTTAAAAATGAAATAACTGTACAACACAAATTAGAATGAAGGGTAAATTTAACTGGGAAGAATAAGATAAAGATAAATATATAAATTAAAGTTGAAAATAAAATAACTGTACAACAAAATACACAATATAGAACTATATAAGAATGTATGAAGAAATCTAAATATAAATAAATATATACACAATAACAGCAGCTGTACAAGTATTAACCGGAAATGAAGAATATAGTGACCAGTGTTGTGCAAAACCAAAGTCCAGAAAGTCCAGTGTGTGTGTAAGAACCATATGTCTCCCACCCCATGCAGCAGACTGTGACAGCACTGAGCAGCTCCTTCAGTGGGAGACTGCGGCACCCACGGTGTGGGACGGAGAGATTTCGCAGGTCTTTCCTCCCCACTGCTGTCAGACTCCACAACAAAGACTTTAACTGAACAAACACACACATCCACACATGTGCAATAACACTAAGTGCAATAATCCTTTCTGGCATCGTTGTATTTTTACTCAGTTGTATATAGCATTCGTATTCTATTTTTATCTTATTGTATATTTTTATTCTATTTTATTCTACTGTATATAGTATATTATTTTATTCTATTCTGTACAGCTGTGTACTGTATTTATTCTTATTGTATTCTAATTTTTGGGTCATAACTTTTGCACTGTCCACTTCCTGCTGTGACAAAACAAATTTCCCACGTGTGGGACTAATAAAGGTTATCTTATGTGTGGGTCAGTACTGTGTGGTGGTGTGATTGAGAGACCGTATCGCCTGCGGGAAGAAGCTCCTCCTCAGTCTCTCTGTGTTGGTCTTCAGGGAGCGGAATCGCTTTCCTGACCTCAACAGAGAGAACAGTCTGTTGTTGGGATGGCTGAGGTCCTTCACGATCTTCCTGGCCTTGGTCCGGCACCGCCTGCTGTAGATTGAGTGCAGGTCAGGGAGCTCGGAGCGGATGGTGCGCTCAGCTGACCGCACAACCCTCTGTAGAGCTCGTCTGTCCTGCATGGTGCTGTTCCCGAACCAGGTTAAGATGTTTCCCGCCAGGATGCTCTCTATGGTGCACGAGTAAAAGTTCCTGAGCACCTTGGAGGGCAGTTGGAAGTCTCTCAAGCGTCTGAGGTGGTAGAGACGCTGTCGGGCCTTTTTCACCACGGTGTTGATGTGACAGGACCATGACAGGTCCTGCGTGATGTGAACTCCGAGGTATTTGAAGCTGTCCACTCTCTCCACTGGGCACTCGTTGATGACGGGGGTCTGGTAGTTCCTCTCCTGCTTAGTGCTGAAGTCCACTATCAGCTCCTTTGTCTTACTGACGTTTAGAAGGAGGTTGTTCCTCTGGCACCAGTTCTCCAGATTCCTAATCTCCTTCAGGTAGGCCGTCTCGTTGTTATCAGAGATCAGGCCCACCACGACAGTGTCGTCAGCAAACTTGATGATGGTGGTGGAGCTGGTAGTGGCCACACAGTCATATGTGTACAAAGAGTACAGCAGGGGGCTCAGAACACACCCCTGGGGGGCTCCAGTGCTGAGAGTGGTGGAGGCTGAGACATGTCCGCCCATCCTTACTGCCTGTGGTCTGCCAGTTAGGAAGTTGGAGATCCACTGACACATAGATGAGCTGAGTCCCAGATGCTCCAGCTTGGTGGTGAGTGTGGAGGGAATTATGGTGTTAAATGCAGAGCTGTAGTCTATGAAGAGCATTTTAACATAATTCCCCCTTCTAGTGTCCAAGTGAGTGAGTGATGTGTGGAGGAGATGAGAGATGGCATCGTCTGTGGAACGATTTGGACGGTAAGCGAACTGTAGTGGGTCCAGTGTGTCTGGTAGTGAAGAAATGATGAAGTCTCTGACCAGGCGTTCAAAGCACTTCATCACTACTGAGGTGAGGGCTACAGGGCGATAGTCATTGAGAGAAGCAGGGTGGGGTTTCTTCGGGACAGGAACAATGATGGACTCTTTGAAGCATGTGGGGATCACCGACTGAGATAAAGAGATGTTGAATATCTCAGTGAACACAGGAGCTAGCTGGTATGCGCAGTCTCTTAGGATACGACCTGGGATGCCGTCTGGTCCTGCTGCTTTCCTGGTGTTCACTCTCTTGAAGGCTCTCCTTACTTCATGCTCGGAGATGACGAGCACGTTTCCGGTGCTGGCAGTATCTTCATGTCTGCAGCCCTTAGCGCCGCTAACACTAGCATTGTTGGAGACCTTAGCTGCAGCCTCGAAGCGAGCATAGAAAGTGTTCAGCTCGTCTGCCAGAGTCACGGCCGCGTTCGTCATACCGGTTGTTGGTGCTTTATAGTCCGTTACTGTCCTCTACAGAAACTATGACAGCTGGTAACCTGTGCAAAGACATTACGCTGGAGATGGGATCAGTGACACCATGACCATGCCATAACAGGTGAAATGTGGGCTGTTAAGTAGTGTATGGGGTTGAATATAATGTCATGGTGCAATCCTGTTAGAGCTGATAAGGCTGTTTAATGCTTATTACAGTATGACAGGTGTACAACTGAATTTTATGGCAAAGTTATAAATGATCTTTATATAAAATTGTCAAATTGTAAGATCCGTTGTGGAAGAGCTCTGATTTCAGCTTTTGAATGAGTGTTTGGGGTGCAGAATATGGAATTTGCCCTTGATGGTGAGGTGGGTGGAGTTCTTCATTGTTGATCTTTGAGCTGGTTAGTTTATGATCATCCTCAAAATGAAAATTTGCCCTGGTCATGTAAGCTACTTTTCTTTAAACGTGTCAGGAAATCAAACTCCATTCCTCCATGAAGTTTGTAGGTCAAAGAGGCTCTTTACTCAATATCTCTCAACTAACAATGTTATTCCATTCACTGCTCCACACTGGGAACGCCACTTGTATCTACGAGTTCATTGTTTGTTCTTGGCAAGCTTCAATGCCCCACACTGATATCCAATACATGGAATGAGGAGATAATGTTGGGGAAAGTGTATGTTTGATAGAAATAAACTGCTTTCTTCAGTTCTCAGTGTACTGATAGCTGATAATGAATTTATGTTAAGCCCCCCACTGTTTGTATAGGTGACAAGGTGGATGGGTTGTTTTGTTGGATAAAGCATTGGCAGTAGTTGGGGCACTGTCTTAAACAGACTCATTACTGTTGTTCCTGGTGGAAAAGCCATGTCCATCACAGGTTTGAATGTAGCTTCTGCTGCTGAGCTATTTATTCAAACTAAAATATAAAGAGATATGCATCATCAGGTAACAGCAGGAGGTGTGTCTTGATGCTCTGCCACCCTTCTCCTTGTTGGATCAGCCCATTTAGATTTGAAATTTTGATGTCACAGTGAAAAATGTCAAATATCCTTTGTTTTTCTTCTACTCAAGTCCAGGAAAATTTTAGTGCATGCTCGTATTTGCTTTGGGCAGTGAGTGCAGCAAAGTTGTTGGTAGAAAGGTAAAGCTGGTGCCCTATATAGTAGGCCTGCACATAGTTAAAAAGGGAAAAAATAAAGAAGAACACCAAGACTAGACTACCAAAAAGCTGCACCATGTTAAAGGGATTATAATCTGTTTTTGTCATTTTTAATTTTTAATTTGTTAGTGTGCTTAGAGTTATTTTACAGTCTAAAGAACTATTTCTGCTTTGACCTCAACTGCATCAGAGTCTGCTTACTGACCAGCTCCGAAGGACATGAAGCAACTGCAATCTATAATGTTTCTGCCATTGTGTCACAGTTGTTGAAAAGTTTTCTGTCTGGAAGAAATTTGTGTTTTTACTGCTGCCAAACATTGCCATCTCTGACACTTTGTCCAGAGCTCACTATTGCTGAAGTTCTGCTCTGATGTTCCATCAACAAAGGCTTTGTTTTGGTATGCTTCTAATACATGTCAACTGATGTAATCTTGGACTTAACCAGCTGCAAAAGTCATTATAAACCTTTTTTGGGATTCTCTTGGAAGCTTCTTTTTACATTTTGCATTTGGGCATCCTGGAATTATTAATTTGTTCTTTCAGATAGCTTAGAAATAAACATTTAAGCATTAAATATAAAAATTCCTCCCTTGAATCATATATCCACAACATTTTTGAGAGGCCATATTGTGAGGCATTGTTTGACCACAGATCTAAATAATTAAATTTCCATCTATTACTTTTCTTATTTATCCTTAACCTCCTAAGACCCAAACTCTTCCACAGCATGCATTTTTAATTTCTCTTTGATATTTGGGCATTTTGGGGCCAATGTAAAAACAAAGAATTACCAGATTTTTTTTTTTACCTTATTTTTGTTTTTAAGAAAAATAAGAGCCACATATGAGGATATTCGTTTAGAATTTTGATAGAACAGTAGCAGTATAATGTCCTTGTAAGTGGATATCAGGCCCATGTAGAGCAAAATTGAGTATTTTAGTCTAAATAACCCAAAATGTGATGTCTGCATATGTGGACGCCAGGTCCTAGGAGGTTAAAAAAATAAATCTGGAAGTACCCCTGTCGAAGTACCCTTCAGTATTGGCATTGGATCCATCAAAGTGTGAGTGTTAAATAAAATTGCTTAGTTATTGATAAAAAAAAAAACACTGTATGAACATGAGTGTGAGACTTGAAGTATAAACCGCTTTGCATGTTCAAATTAAATAGAAAGGCACTATACAAGTGCCAGTCCATTTACTATATACTTGAATATTGAGTTGCAAAGCACAAAGAAATAAGGAACACCACTGAGAAGATTCATGAATGAAGTCAAGAAGAGTTGGTGTGACAGAAGAGGATATGGACAGGGTGAGATGGAGACTGGTGCTGCTTTTTATCACCATAGCAACAATTCCAAAAAAGTGTATCAGCCGAAGGAGGGAAAAAATAAAATCCCTGATCACTGAGCATTTCTTAGAAGATCAAATGTCTGCTTGTCTAAATATGTAAAAACCCAAACCTTATTTATGGGATGCAGCTCAGCTTTCAGTATCACCTGCATAGCTACTGTTTATCCAACAGAGGGCGCAATATGACTTTTTTTGGACAGAGTTTCTCACATTTATTTTCCTAGATCTTTTTAAGTCAAATACTCTACAAACTCTCTAAGAACACCAGTGCGTTAAGATGCATTATTGTTATAGCCTTCCTTAGCGCTTCCATCATTCGTCTCTGACAACTCAGTACGCAAGCTCAGTACGCGAGCTGGGGAGATTTCCGCTCTGAACGCGCAGGACATGAACGCAATATGAGGGAAACGACGCAAGAGCTCCCTTGTTGACATTTTGTATACACTTAAAATCGACAGCCTACCGTGTGCTCGCCTTTACGTTCCTCCGTGCAAACACGAAAAACACGTCCAAACTTTGGATTCACGGAGACGTAAGGATCCCACGGCTGCTCATGCGCGTGCGTCATACGCTGTCACTGGTGTGGAGCCTGTCAGACAGCTGCAGCCAACTCGCTCGCGGCATGTGGAGCAGGGCTGAGTGAGGAGGGAGGAAGGGGTGGAGGGGTTGTCCGTTTGACCAACATCGATTTGAGCGGAGGTAGTCGACACTCGTGGACGAGCCTTTACCGCGGTGGCAACGTCGGTGTGACAGCTCCCCTTCGCAGCGAGGGAGAGAATGAGAATAGTGGATGTAGTTTGTACAGCGCGGCAACAGAGAAGTCACTTCAAAAGGTGAGCGGAGACAGCTTTAGCGTCTCTGACACACTGTGTTGTCTTCTCCATCTGATTAGCGCTTGTAACGAAACGACCCGTTTGTTACTGTCTTTTCCTGTCCTGTTATGTTTTCACAACTTGCGCAACCAGCTAGAGATCAGTAAATGAACCCCTGTTCACTCGTTTTAAAACTAGTCGCACGTGCAGGGCTGTTAGAAAGCGCTCGTGTTAACCGTTAATGGAAGTGAAGGTTTGTGCTCGTGAATGTTTTAGGTTTTTTTTAGGGAACAGATACGGTTTATGGTGAGAGAAGTTGGCTAACTTCGCAAACCCTCTGTGGTTAAGAGAAGTGTAGGAGCGGTATTCATTTTTGGGAATTTCTGATTTTGCATCACTCTCGCGAGCTTTCCAGCTGTTAAATTACGTGTTAACCGTGACAAGACAAGTGTTTAAGAACAGGGAAGATGACTCGGTGTCCTTAATTATCTGGCGTTTCACCCGAACACCACTAGTCTGGGGTTTTTTCTCACGAAGCAAAGACATTTCTTAATCAGTTTCGCTCTTACCATCTTTAAGTTCCGCATTGTGTTAATGTATGCTTCGCAGGTATGAGAGAAGTGTCAAAATCGGGAACTATAGTTGTGTTCGACACAATGTCCTGTCGTTTTATGTCCGAAAAGCGACATAGTTTTTTAACTGGAGCCAGCTGGGGTTTACTCTGAATATCCCACCACTCAGAAAGCAGACTCCAGCATCCGAAAGTAGGCCAGTAGCTGGTCTGTATGTCATGCTACACCGTGTTTGGTCCCCCCTCTGGAAGGTTAATGGGAGTCTGGCTGGTTCAAATGTGGAGTGGGGGGAGGTTACAGACAGACAGACTCAAGTGAAAGATGTCCAGCAGCTCTAGCTCTCCTGTGTTGGATTGCAGACTCATATTACAGATGTGCATATTGCTAATGTGCACATTACCTCTTTAATTTAAATATGTACTTGGTAATAGCATGAGAAGTATTGTACAGGCGTATTAAGTCAGTGCTATATTAGGTTTTCATACACACACTTCACAGCTGTGTTTTTTTAAAGATGCTGCTTTCTGTTCATATCAGAAAGGTGTTTCTATGTTTTTGCTTCTTGTTGTGAGAACCCCACCCATACGCCACAATTTCCTGCCTCTTTAATTATCTCCTGCATCTGTTCCTAATTATTTTAGTTAAGAACTGATTTCATTTGGTTTATGTTGTAAAGCTTTTGAGATAGCAATAAGTCAACCACCCTTTAATATTAGATTTTCCCTTATGAGAAAAATAAATCTGTAAATCTGTGTGCACTTACAGATAGGGCATGGCATTTTCAAAAATGAATATTACGTGGATCTCATCGTTTTCAAACCGTCAATTTGATCTAGAGTCCAACAGCACATGATGACTTTAGGATATGTGTGTGAGTAAAACTTTTCCCTTTAAACATTGTTCTGACTGCAAGCAGGATGTCAGCCACATGTGAGGCAGAGCATGTGAGCCCTTATTTTATTATCCTTGTCTTTTTTTCCTAATGACTCACTAGAATTTGCCTTTTTTAGAACACTGATGTGTTCATTAAGCTTTTATAAATTTGCTGTTTTGTAGTATTATGTTCTGCGGTATTATAGATAATAAGTAAATCCCTTGGTTAGCACTTGGAGGAAAGGATCATAATTGGCTTTAGTCAAATAAACCATAAACACAGACGCTTTCTTTCTTTTACTCTGATACAACATTTACGTCTGTTTATGGTTCACATGTTCGTTTTCAGCCAGGAGTTTGCATTGTTTTCTGTTGGGATAATATTATTACAGCAGAGAAGCAACAATAGTCTTTTTGTTGGTCTGAATGGCGGCTTTATGATAGATTCCAAAGGCTTACAAATGGGCCAGTGTCACAAAAAGCACCGAATAGTGAAGCCTTTTGCCAGCCTTTTAAAGAAAGAAGAAAAAGAAACACTTTACCCCAATAGTGTAACCCGTGAAAGGTTTTCAGTGGCCTTGTCACATGATTAAACCACCTACAGGTAATCTCTGATCATCTTGTTGCAATGCAATCGTGGTCAGAGCTGGGGAGGTGTACCATATCGCGTGTGGGGGCTTAGTAGTATAGGCTATAGCTATGTTTATGAAAAGTTGTTCCGAGGCACACTTGAGGCAAGTCCAGGTGTTGGTCTGTTTTTATCAACCAACAAAATAATGTCTAATTTTTTGTTTTTCTTTTATTTACTGTATCGTGCATAAAGCTGTCCGGCCTATTTCAAATGAGAGCTACATCAGAACCAGAAGCTGCAACACTGCTTGTTGATCTGTATGAAAATGTCTCGCAAATTGTGTTGTGAGCCATGCTAGGTCGAGATATCACAAATGGGCTGGTCAAAATCCCTTCATCTGACAGTATTATTCAATCATAATCTATGGTAGGGTAGATGTCACAGAAGCTATTTTGGACAGAAATGAGTAAGATTTTCCTCAAAATATTTCAATATCCCCAGCCATTAGTATTCTACATTTTTCTTTTCAGGGTGACAAGATCCTGGAGTTTGTGTCACCATGCATTGCGTAATAGACCTTTGCACACCCTGAATAGCTTTTCTGTGTTTTTACAGGCTACATACAGACAAACATAGTCACACTCACACCTACATACAACTTGGGTTCCTCATTTGCCAAACCTGTGCTTGCACTCCTAGAAAGAACTTGAAAACTCTGCACAGAAAAGCCAAAGTCATCCAGTGGATTGGAACTTAATAGTATAGTCCGTGAATATCTCAGAATAGTGGGGCATTTATGATGCTTTTATGAAGACTGCGATTGTTAGCACCTTTTAAAATTATATTAATACACAAGGATGATCATATTAAGAAGGCAGTTATAAGAGGGCAAATAGATTATAGATACCAGTGTAATAAAATTACTTTACACTATTATAATCCTTAAGTCTCAAATACAGCATTTTAGCATTTGATCAGTATGTTACTTTATCACAATCATGGTGCAAGAAACTAGGTTTCTGCGAGAACTCATTTTGACAGTTGCATGAGCTAGTTTGTCTATAAATGATCCCAATTCTTTTTCCCACACTCCGTCATTAGTGAAATTGAGGTCACACCACTGTTGAGATTGTAAATTGTCACTCAGGCTGAAAACTGCTACACCCATGAGGACACGAGTGGTCGGTTCATGGGATAATAGCTGAAATCTTTGTTTGTTTGTTTTTTGTAGAATGGCTAAAACGGACCATCTTGGAATTTCCCCTCTATGATTGGCTCTGTTTGTGTCTTTTCTAGATGCCACTTTAAATTAGTTTTTGCCCCAAATACTTAACCTCGTTTTGCTGAACTGCTTTAAGTGTCCTTCCAGTGTATGCTGTCCCCCTTCCATAATCCTCTCTTTCTGTTCTTGTAAACAATCTTAAAACTGACCGAATCACACGCGCCGTGTGTAACGGTAAGCCTGGCATTTTTTCTTTTTTTTCTTCAGCTTTTGACTTTGGCCGTGGTCGGCTCTTCCTCATTGGGTAACATCCTCTCTTTGTGTTCACCTTCTTGAATTATTTAATCTATTTGGCTTTCCAAAACCTAGCACTGTGCTGTGGTGGGCAAAATATAATGGTTTGTAAAGAGTGGAAGCTGTATCAGAGGTTACGTTTGAACTTAGTAATGTGACCTGAGCGTTTGCTCTTAATTTGGTGAAGGACGCTTGTTGTGCAGCAAGCTGCTTTTGTAAATGGTTAAATATGAGATCTGTCTATCATCAGCATGATTTAAGCATTGCTTTTTTAAAAACCTGTTTTTCTCTGTTTATTAGTCATTCAGCTTCACGTATGAGTTTACTAACATTACCACAACAGTAGTTATTTAAAGTGTGGATATACGTTGGGTTTTGGGGTTTTTTCTAGCTACACCACTTATGTTGTGACTGTGTCTTTCCTAAGATGAGGATCCATTTATGAGAATGTGGCTTTCTCTGCAGGATCTGAGGTTTTGTGTTTATAAATATTCTTCCCTTGACATTCTTGTCCTCTTCATACCACTCCTCAAAAAATTGCTTGCACTCTGGGAAACAGGCCTGCGATGGGCTTGCTTCTCTAGCATCTAAAACTTTGTGTGGTCATTTTTATAATTAGACCCCCCCTTCCTGCTCTCAAGCCACAGTAATGAACAGAGACTGCTTTCAGTCTGAGTGATACAAGGTGAGGTGAGCCCTCTTCCTCCTGCTCCATCTTGTTTTTTTCTTTGTCATGAAAGGAAAAAGGGCACATTTGGATGGTGAGTAATGTTGGTATAATCTATGTTCTGTGTGGCTCTCTCTGGAAAAATGATAAGGCAGAGGGACATGGGTAATATAGAGTGCAGCAGGACAAAAAAGTCCTTAGGGACAGCAAGCTATTCTGAGCCTTTGTGCTTTTTCTCAGTCCCTGAGCTCTGGATGTTTCCCCCTGGGCCACAACGTCTGTGTCTGTATTTTCTATGCATAAACACTACAAAAAAGTGAGTGAGATGGGGCGGCAGGGGAAAGGGCCCAGACAGTAAGGAAGACAGGGAATCTTTTGTTAAGGAGACCATAGCTTCTCAAAAGTAAGATTTTCTCTAAGTGGCCTAAGGTGGGTGGTATTATTCTTGTCTCAAATTGTCCTTTGAATTCCTAGTATGGACTTGCTGTTTGCTTCAGCTCAGTCAAGAAAAGATTTAGTACACAGTTTATTTTACTTTGCTATGAGTCAGTAGCCACTATGAGCAAGCCTTGAGAAAAATGCTACTGGCATGGGCACGGTGAAACAAATGGCTCTTGTCCATGCACCATCACACCTGCCAAACATGTTTGTTAGTATGGAGCCATATATAGAAGCTGTTGATGATACTGAGATATCTGAGCTTGTTTTTTATATTAATGTGATCATATTTTGAGCATGTTAAAACGTGGCTTCTAAAAATATGACTTGGTAGCTAAATGTCCATTATATTGTACTTAGGAAAAATTCTCTCTGATTAACTCACCTTGAGTATACAATAATCTTGTTTCAGCTGCTTTGGTCTTGCTTTAATGGAGGTTTCATAACTTTATTTTTTTAGAGGCAAAAATAGTCACTCTTGTGTTTGTTGTAATAATGATTCCTGTTCTCTAAGTAGGTTCTAAGCTTTCTATGACATTCCTCATCTCTTAATAGTGCTCTCAGTTGGCCTCTATTACCATCTAATTTGACCCTGGATGATCATCTTTCTTCGCCCCTGCTTAAAGTAGGGAGGGCACCTCGTGGCCGTTGCTCTCTGTCTGCTTTTTCCAGCTCTTTTCTGCTTCTCTTGGACACATCCGTGCTTACATGCATACACTGTGTGTCTGACACCCATTACAAAACTGGAGCTCTGTTGCCATCTGGGACTTGAGCGTTCTTCATGTGGAAATTAAAGCCATGTGGTTGCTTGTAAGCTTCCCTTCTCTGAACTAGAATGACATACTTGTTCTTCACAGCCGCCACAAAGCTACACCACTGAGCTAATGTAATGACGGGGGAAATGGAATGCACCGCAGGACATTCTTTCAATTTAATTGTCATAAATTGTTCTGCTAATGACTGTAGTAATTAATACGATTATAAACTTAAGCAACAGATGTATAATTCCACCATATTCTTAATTTGAATTGCTTTTTCATTTGATGTAGGGAAGTGAGAAACCCTTGATAAAGCATCAGATTTAGATCATTTACATCTTAGTCGTGACTCATTAAAAATGTGTTTGTCTTTGACACTTCATGCTTATTAGTACCCTGACAGTGAGGTTGTAAGATCCTCTGCAGGAACAGTGGTGGTTTACAGTACATGTTTATAATAAAATATGCATCTGAAGAGTGAGTGTGAGAGTTTACTCTGCAAGGTAACCAGGCTGAGTTGGTGCATGGTTCAAGCTTGTCTGATCTGAGTGTCCTTTGGCTGACCATGCAGCGCTGACTAATCGTGTGCTCAAAAGAACGAAACATCTGGCGTCTTTTGCTTTGCGTCGCCATCAGCAGTGAGGTTAGTGTTTTGAGTGACAGCCACATAAAATACATTAACGTAAAAATTTGATATTAATAACAATATTAATATCAGATATTAACAACGAATCTGACCTTCGGGATTCAGGTCAACTTTTTTCCAGTATTTCCAAATTTGACCTTAGCTCGTCTCCCTTGTGTTTTTGCCCTTGTGCTGGTACAAACTGTCTGAGGTAGTTTGACTTGAAGGCTTCAGTTCAAGATATCAACCCACATGCACATATTGCAAATATGTCATCGTGTCTCTATCTAAATAGGAGTCTAGCGCTTGTGGTTAGTTTCCAGGGCCCTACGGTAAGTTATTGCCAGACTACTTGTAATCCCAAGCTTTCATTCTTACTTGGCGCTTGTATAATCCTGTCTTAAATCGGAATCCGCTCGGATTAAGATTGATTATAAGCCAAAAGAGAGACGATCAGAAACCAAGGGAAACAGAAATATGTTTAAATAACATTTGAGAATTGTGTTCTGTTTCCTGTGAGATTAAATGTATCTTTTAGTTTTTGAACCGCAGTTAGCTGATAGAACTATAAATGGCCTTTTGGTTTTCAGTGCGGAGAGCTGTTTAAAAGTGTGCTACCAGTAAGTCTTTGAAATAAAGCTACTTGGCTTAATTTTTTTCCTTGCAAAAGCCAGGCTGGTTATGGCTTTATCCATGACATTTTAGAGTATGTGAGCAACATTTAGAGATAGGAAATGTTAGTGATAAATCAGTAAAGGAAGTTTTGACTGCCGCATCACGGCATCACCGCTGAAGACCTTGTAATTAGCTGACTGTGACTCAGAATGCTTTGCAAGCTCTTTGTGGTTACAACTGTGCACTGTGAGCTTATATATGTGAGCCTAATTTAGAGCCCTATGTCATAACAGGAAATGATGTCATCTAAGCCTTAGTTTCTACCCTGTTAGCAACATGGTTGTCAAAACGTAGCCATACAGTTGTTTGTTTTGTTTTTCTTCTTCTGAATGTTCAGCGGTGTTAACCATCTCAAATTCCAGCTTACTGTTTGCTCACTATCTCAAGCGGCCGATTTTGTTTCTTTCAAACACATAACCTTTATTCATTCCTTCTGTTTTCTACACAGTTAGACAAATGACACATCCCTGTTCATATTAACTCCCCCAGGTGTGATATTCGTGTGAGGTTTCTCCCACTTGGTGACCTTCTCAGTTGCTTAATCAGATTTTCCATTGAGCTTCCATCTGTTGACACCCTGATCCCGACCACAAGTAACCACCTTCCTGTTCACCACTTAAAAAGGGCAGTAAAGTAAATTACTTTGATGCAGCCACGGATGTAGCCTCAGCTGTTTTCTCTTGTATTTTGCTTATGAGTCATAAGCAAATCACCAGTTGTATTAGTGTGATATGATCTTACTTCTCGGATGAGAGGTGAAACGTCTTCAGAAAACTTAAAGTAGTCCGGTCGCTTTTCTTTCCAAGCTCCTTAGATTACTTTGACCTGGATGACTGAGAACCTACACAGACAGATCAACTGCAGTTTTACTGAAATCTTTCTTGCTGATCACACAGTCCAAGTCTGAAAGAGTTGAAATATTTGTTTAATGGCTGGAGGAAGAAGAATTTTGTCCCACTCTTTCTGTAGTTTTCCTTGAACCTGTTATTGAAGGAGTGGCAGTCACTAGTTTCCTTTTCTTCCTGGCTCAAAAACAATGCTATCAGCAGTGTGGAGACTCAACACAGGAAGAAAGCATCTGAGACCTAATGATGAAGCCCGACAGATGCTTTAATTATTTATTTATTTATTTATTTTTTTAAAAGAAATTCCCTCAGCAAACAGGACTTTTAAAAAGTGAAATTCCATTGTACAAAGCATAATGAAATGTTATACATATTCGGAGTGTGTATATATATATTTTATACATTTACAACTTACATTTATAAACATGTGAAAATGCAGTAAAGCAATCTTCACTTTGATGACCATAAGTGTTAAAGTTGTTGGCATATAAATCAATTAACTCCTCATGCATTTGAATTAGGTTTCACTGGCAGTACCATTAAAGCTGAACTCATAATAACAGAGCACGTTCTCTTGGCATAACCTTGCTTACACATCCGTGTTGTGTGACGTTCCTACTAAGTCATTGCATTAAAATAAGATTAGTCCTCGATATTCACTTAAATTCAGTGCATGTCTTAGAAGAGAAACATAAATTAAACTTTTGATAATTGTGAAAATACAATTAAATCAAGAGGGCTTAAAAATTCGATTAATTAAGAAAAACAATTATGTAGCTTTACAATGTGGTGCCATGACACTCCACACATCAACTCCGATGTTAAAAAACATTGTGTGCATAGTTAAAGTATTCAGTGCAATTCAGTTTTATTTATATAGCACCAGATCACAACAATAGTTGCCTTAACGTGCTCAGCTTTTTATTAATTTATTTCTTTACGACTTATTTAGCCTATGATAAATACACTAGTAAGACCACATTATCTGATCATGTGATATAGGTAAGATAAGACTTTGGTTACCGAGCTCACCTCACAGACGGTTTACACAGCTGTTCAGAAAGTATGCTGATGCCATCAAAACCCTGAAATGGCTCAAGCTGAGGTGGATGAGAAAAGGGAAATTTTGAAAAGGAAAGCAAAGAGCAACAGAGTCCATTTGTTCAGAGGTCTGGTTTCACTGAGCACCTGTTTCTACTGTGGCAAACCTCTTCCATTATTAGGCTTAATTGTAGGAGAGTCCCAAGAAGTGCTCATATTTCAGCAGCACTGGATACCTTTTTATGTGTGTGGGAAGACACCTGAGAAACAAATTGCATCCTGAACTTGTACGTTTTGTGAATTGTAGATCGCTTCAAATGCAATGTCTCCTGTCAGCACAATGAGTAAGGGTCTGCAGGGAAAAGTTAAAGGGTCTTTGTGTGAGATGACAGGTGCATTCACACCTGTTGCTGCTTGGCATGCTACGAAAAATCTACTGCCTGAGGTTTCTGTTGGCTGCATGTGTCGAGAATCAGTATAACATAGTATTATTCCAAAGAGCTGACTTATTATACTAATTTCCTGTGTAACCTTTTTAAAACAAACACTCTTCAAAAAGTCAATGTGAAGAATTGCATTGGACAATACCATGCAAGCTAATTCAGACAGCCAACTCTAACTGCACTGCGTCATAAACATGTAACATGCTTCATCCGTTATATTCCACATTTAAATTTCGAAATTTGCTACATGTCAGTGCCACTGCTGCGCTGCATTGCTTCGTGCTGTTTCAAGCCCTCTACCAACTCCAGCATACACTCATAGGCTGTTTACCCCACAATTTCTGTATGTGTCATATTTTTATGGAGGGATCTCGTTAAGTTTAATGCAAGGAGATTGTAGCAGTTTTATCTTACAGTTATCTCTTTTACATTCAAGCAACATTTTATATCATGGATCAAGTGTGTAATTATCCTACCATACCAATCAGCAGTAAATCAATATTTACCTCAATATTAGGTCAATATTCTTCCACATGCCCAATGTATATGCCAATGCATTGGCATATACACAGGTTAAGAGAGATTACTCTCTTAATCTATTTCTGTGTGTTTTCTTATAGATTTTGACATGAAGAAGGACATAGACACATTAATAGCAGAAGAACGGGCTGAAATCATCTCTAAATATGACAAGGTAGGTGTTTACAGGAAAACCTGTGACTGTGAACATTTCCATAGTGACCAATTTGTGGTTACACTTAGAATATTTTTGCAAAGCATAATGCATTTGTAGAGGTGTAGCCACAGAAGATTGTCACGTTTCATTTGGAGGATACTACACAGATCAGCATTCACACGCTCCCTACCTTTGCATGGACTAAGTCTCAATTGCATCTGTCAGGAAGGCAGAACATCATCAGAAAATGTCAAGGCTCATGTCTCAGGCTCCTAATTGAAAATGTAGTGCACTGACTCGCAGGGTTTAAAGAGGAAAATAATGGATCTGTCCAAATATGCATGATTTGAACTGTTTGTGTTTCAGGGCAGGCAGGAGGGTGTCAGTATTGATCCGTGGGAGGATGCTGACTACAGCATTTATAAAATCACAGACCGCTTTGGCTTCCTGCAGTAAGTACATTTGAAGCTTTGGTCTCTACCTTGCACTATTTTAAATTTGTGCACATTCCCTTGCATTGAATTGGTCCCATCGTTCTGTCTATGCTACTTCTCAGATTATGATGATTTTTATTATCATTATAAAATGTAGATTACTCTCTTAATCTACCGCTTTGATACATATTGTGTATTCCTGCCCTTCTCCAGTGAGGAAGAGCTTCCAACACCAAGTGTGCTTGAAGAAAAGGTATGAACATTTTAACGTATAGCTACTTCATATTTTTACCATATTTTTACCATTCAAGTGATCTATTTATGTCCGACTCTCACATGCACTGAACCACATGTTGTTTTGTCTTTCTTCTCTCCAGCAAAAGCAGCAGGAGCTCGAGCGAGTTGAGAAATGGCTGAAGATGGTGAAGAAATGGGACAAATACAAGAGCAGTGAAAAGGTCGATAGTCACCCATCAACATTCAGACACCAACATGTCTTAATTTAGCCCATGCTTCCTTTTTTCTGCTTGGCTATCTGATGTACTATTTCTGTTTCTTTTTATAATCTGTTTTCCATTCCTCTTTTAAGCACAGCTCACTCCTTTATCCATCTCCTCTTACCAGACTATCGTGAGGAGATGGCTAAAAAAAAAAAAACAAGTACATGAGTGTATGAGATGAATCCGTGTCAATCAAGAGAGCTAAAAGGCATACACCTCAAGAAGCATTCAAACGTGACGCTGTCCCTCTGTCTGTTTTTGCCGCCTCATGAAGAGCCTGTGTTCATGTGTTTCTGTCACATCTGTTTCAGCTGGCGAAGCGTGTATATAAAGGTATTCCTCTCCAACTTAGAGGACAAGCTTGGGCCTTGCTTTTAGACATAGAGAAGGTGAAACAAGATGGTAAATATGAGGTAAGCTATTAAAATTGTTGGCAATTTTCTATGATTTTGAGAAACTGTGTCCTGGTTTTTACACACAGAAATGTCATTCCCCTGTTATCCAGAAAATGAAGCAGCAGGCTCGTAACTTCTCCACAGAAATTAAGCAGATAGACTTGGATGTTAACAGAACCTTCAGGAACCACATCATGTTCATGGATCGCTTTGGAGTCAAGTGAGTTCTTAGCTTCACTCAGGAGGAAGCTGAAGTATTTCATTGTATCCACATGTAACACATTATACACACATACAAACTGTTAAACCTTGGTTGTTGTTTTTTTGTTTTTTGTTTCTTTTTTGTTACAAGTGGCCTTGTCAGGTTTTTTTGTTTTGTTTTCTCAGGTCACATGTCCAGGTTTCCCCTGACAGAGGTTCCTGCAGGGTGTGACCTCTGACCTAAACGTTGCAGTAGCCCTGTCCCCTCCCCACTTACACACGCACTCACACAGTGCCATGCACACACACACAAAACCAAAGATGTGGTTTCCTCCTCTCTGCATTTTATTAGCCTTCCTGTCAGTGCGCAAAGCCCCACAGGAAATGGCATTATACAGAAATGTGCGCTGGCGTCACATGTACTGTAATACCACTGCAACAACAGAAACTTATATCACCAAATGTACACAGACTTACCTTCCAAACACTAAATACCTTCTTGTGTTTCTCATTGTATTTGCTTGGGGCAAGGCGCTGTTATGTGTTACTCTTCACTCTGAGTGTGTAACTGAGTGCTCTGTTTTTGCCCTTTGTAATGTACTTCCCCTCCAATTCAAAGCCACCGAGTCCAAATAGACCAAAACACCGCTCCATCCTGCCTGGCTGCCCACTCCTTCCCTGCAAGTCAGCAGCTGTCTCACACACACTGAGAAACTGACAGCTATTTAAAGCTCCTTTCCTGTCTCTGTCCCTGTCCATAAGACATCTATTTACTATAGAAGCCTGTGGGGGCATTGTCCTATCTACATCTGCGTACATTAGATCTGTTACTATCCCTACGCTGTGTGCACGTTGTACACATTAGCCTACACACATTGGCCGCCTGTGTTCAAGGTCTGAAGCAGTTGTAATCAGATGTAATTTCTGGAACATCTGTGGGGCTTTCCATATATGACAGCATATTTTCACATATCATTAACAAAATATATACTTCTCTACTTCACAAGGTCATTACGAAAAGAAAACCATAAAAGTTAACTTTTTGGTCTTTTTTTTTTTTTCTTCAGCCATAAAAGAAGTCCTGTCACACATTAAGACTTAAATGTGTAGCAACAATACTGAGGGTTGATTAAGCGACTGGGTGGATACAATAATTGGTTCAATTGAACCGCTTTACTCCGACACAGCGTTTCAGTTTGTTTGGTTGTTTTAACTGGTGGCTTCTCTGTTCTCTCTCCAGGCAACAGGCGCTGTTTCACGTACTAGCTGCTTACTCTGTCTACAACACGGTGAGCAAATTTGTCCGTGTATCTGTGTCCGTACTTACGGTAACATTGTGTTGCATAATATGGAGGAGTCTTGTGTACACTAGCTGCACAGGAACAAGCAGCACATCCATCAAGAGTGTTAGTTTCTGTACAGTGGAAAACAGGCCGAGCTATCCAGACCCATCTGTTGTCACTCTTGTTTAAAGCCTTAGGAGAGATCTTTTATTTATGACTGGCTTGGCCTAATTGCTACACAGTGTAGCAGATAGACCGTTGTTCACACTATTAGACCAACTTCCCCTTTTGACAATATTTTAGCTTCAGGACAAATATTAAGCCAATTCACTCTCTTTTGTTCTAAGATTTTATTCTGTCTTAATGTAAGAGGATGCCTTGTTTCCAGCTAAGCGCAGCTTTTAGAAAAACAAACCTCACATCCTCATTTCTCATAGAAGCCAAGTTGGTTACTTTTCACTTAGCAGTCATCTTAACAGTGTCTCTGCACCAGTGTCTTTGAATCACAGTTGTGGATCTGAAGGCAGAGATAATGAGTTTTTCATGCATCTGCTTGAGGGTCTTAGTGTATTTTTCCAAGTGTTTCTCTTTGCATGGTGAAATTCAGAGTTTACACACATGCACAGAATCACCAGCACTCGTATGCATTTGTATCCTGTGTCTGAACACTTACATCTATCATTTGCATTCATATTGAACAGATTTTAATATTCCTACGCTTTTCAACTAGCAGAAATTTAGCAATAGACTTTTGAAGAGTACACCACACGCAGGCAAGCCAAAGTCTGTTTTTCTGATTGGTTTTTGTAGTCGATTCCTGTGTGGTAGAGGTGTTTGAGCCAGAGGAAATGGGCATGTGTCGTTCCCTTTTTCCTTTTTCCCCTCTTCTCACACACTGCTCAGAAGAAACTGGGTCAGTAGGAGAGCCAAGAGAGAAAAGGGAAGAGAGAGTTGGAGGGGGGGAGGCATGTTTGTTCTTTTTGCCTATGTGATGGTAGTGAAGAATGTGGGGAATGTGTAGTTTAACCTCACCATAACCCTAACTGTATTTATGCTTTTCCTTGGAAGGATATTCTGTCGTGTCCGTTGGTAGCTACACAATAAATCAGCCTTAATATGGACAAATACTAAGCATGTGTCTGTGTTTGCATGTATGTGCTTGCCAAGGGCTAGTTTAGTTTAAGTCACTGAATCATTGTGAAGTCATATTGTCAGTAATTGAAGCTGGATGCATGACATTACTGAGAGTCTTTGATTGGCTAGTGTACATATTTGTACAATCCAGGTTTGAAGTGCTGATAATACCAACACTACATCTTGTTGTGTACAGTAAAACTTCCAGAGTCTGTCTTCAGACCTCATAAGACATTCAGATGCTCTCTGTTCCCTCATTTCTTAGCGTGTGTGTGCGTGCGTGTGTGTGTGTGTGTGTGTGCGCTATTAAATTATGAATACTTCCTCTCATTTGCCCGTTCTGTTTAACTAAAGCCATTTCTGCTCCTGTCTTCCCCCAGGAGGTGAGCTACTGCCAGGGGATGAGTCAGATCGCTGCCATCTTGCTCATGTACCTGAATGAGGAGGATGCCTTCTGGGCTCTGTCCCAACTCCTTACCGACAACAAGCATTCCATGCACGGTGAGACAGAGATGGGAAACAGGAAAGCACAGCTAATTAATGTCTGGGAAGTAACTGTACTGTTTAAAACCAATTAAAAATATAAGGATGCTTTACTAACTTTAGTAATTGTTTTCTCTTTAATTTGTATATAATACATCTCTGCTATTGCCATACACAATTTATAGTCTGCTGACTAATTTTTTTCCCTCCCCGCTAGGGTTCTTCATCCCGGGATTTCCCAAGCTGCACCGTTTCCAGGCTCATCATGAGCTAATCCTGTCCAAAATGCTGCCTAAGCTCAAGAAACACCTGGTGAGTAGCAGACTGATGACTGATGCCTTCCATCCATCCTTCCATCCACAAGAGTAATTGAGCTCTTTGAAACCTTAGAAGTTCAGACTCATTTCAAACAATCAGGTCATTTCTCATTTTTTTGATTAATTCATGTTGCAAAGGACCGCATGTTGCAGATCTTAGATCCCAGAGTATTTGGAAAGCGAGATTTATAACTGAAAACAAATTCTAAGGCAGAGTTTCGCATTCATTCCTGCTCCACAGGACAAGGAGCAGATGACAACAGGGATTTACACCACAAAATGGTTTCTGCAGTGCTTCATTGAAAGAGTGAGTATTTGGATTTCCTCCAGATCTTCACTGTTTTTTCGGGGGGGTTATATCTAGTCCCATTAATGAGTGCCTCACAATGCTTTCTTTTACTTTCACTTTTAAATTAGAACTACAACTATGGCAGTTTTATTATGTTTTGATGAGACTGACTCTTAAATTAACAGACACCTTTCACCCTCACCCTGCGTTTATGGGACATCTACATATTGGAAGGGGAGAAGATGCTATCTGCTATGGCTTACACTATCCTCAAGTTACACAAAAGTGAGTATGAGGCTGTGCCATGCCGCGCTTTATCCCTAGATACGGCCGCGGCTGCTGTTGCTACATGAGTGTGTGTTACTGTGTGGATTACATCGCACGCTTCCTCTCGGTTGGCTGCTTCCTAACTGGATGGCTTACATAACAGAAGTAGTCGGTTGCTGTGGAGAAGAATCAAAAGCTGATTTTTCATTGGGTGGCATACTCTAGCACTGGCTCAGCACATTGGTTGATTTCTTGCAAAACAACTCCTTTAACAGGCCAATTCTTTACTTGGCATCTCTTTACTTGGTATCTTTAAACATTACATCTGAGCTTAACTACTCTTTTTAACAGTAACATTTCTATTCCTCACCTCATGGAGATTATTCTCATAGATTACTTTGCTCCTCCTTTGTCTGTATTGTGTGTGTAATCAGAGCGCCTGCAGAAACTTCAGTTAGAGGACCTGAGAGAATTTCTTCAGGAGCAGCTGGCTGCTTCTTTCTTCATGCCTGATGATGCTGTAGTTGAACAGTTGCAGACAGCAATGACTGAACTACGCAGTAAAAAGCTGGACCAACCTCCTCCAGGTGCACCTATGTTCTTTTACAGGCCTCTCCCCCCCCCCCCCCCCCCCAAATCCTAAGCTTCTTTGTCCACAGCGTTTGTCTTGTAATAACCCACAAATTCTGTTTCCTTTTTTAGCCAAGTCAGATGAGTTACCCAAGAAGCCTCTGGGTCAAGAGAGACCAGTTCTCCTTCTCCCATTGCAGCCTGACTCTTCTGTGAAGGTCAAAATAAGTCCGCAGTCTGAGAGCCAGCCCAGTACAGATACCCAGGAAACAGTTGGCATCACCCCACATCAGCCTCCCTCCCTTGAAGAGCCCCAGGAATCAAGAAGCCTCTCCAGGCCAAACACACCTACTTTGCCTTCACCAGACCCTGTTGTGGTTCACACACAAGGGACACCATCTTCTCTGAGGCCTTGTCAAAATCCTCCGATCCCTCCAAAAGTAGGGGTAAGGAGAGATGTTAAGGAATTGTTCCCAGCAGTTAGTCAAGAGAGGGGCAACGAGGAAAACGAGACCTCAGTCACAGAGATCCAAGAAGAACCTGTGGATTGGCCTCCACCCTATGAGCCCCCTCCCTTGGATATGCATACAATGGAAGCTGAGGAGGAAATCATGGATCTCCCTGATCTACCACCTCCACCTTTCATTTTCCCTAACCAGATTGACCAAATGCCACTGGGAGGTTGTTCGCCCCATCTGGGAGCTAGGACTGGCCCGGGTATCCAGCAGTGCTCTCACTCCCCCCGCTCAGCCTCACCACTGGTCAATCAAATTAAGCTATCCCCAAAACTATACCCTAAACCTCCGACATCACTTGACATTTTGCAGAAAAAATCTTTGCCCTCAAAACCCTCCCCCAATCGTGCCTTCACAGATTCGTCTTCCTCTCCCAGAATTCCCCCAAAGCCAACCAAGTTCCCAGTCTCTCTATACGTCCCGGTATCTGCAGGAGATAGACGGCCTTCTAACACCTCACAGTATGACAACCTTTCGGAGGTTGATGAAGATGACCGTAATCTAGAAAGAGTGCTGAGCTCCACTCCTGAGGAAATTCCTAGCCTGCACAACAACCCATCATACAACAGAGAATATGACCCTGCTGTGTACCCTCTGCCTCCACCTCCTGTCTACATGCATCACTCTGCTTCCCCTCCCTCACTATGTGCCCTTCCCAGTTTGCCACAAGAACCAGAATATGTAGGAGAGGGCAGTTGGGTGGAGGATCCTATCCTTGCCCCTCCTCCACCTAGTTTTGCCGACAGACTTAGTCCCCTCCAATGCACCACTGCCAGCTGTTCAGACCCGCACAAAGCCATGTCACCCGGTTATTCTAAGCCTTTCTCCAGGGGCCCCAGAGACCATTCTGCCTTCCCAGCACCGCTGTTGTACACCGGGTCACCTCCGACTCACTTAAGATCCTCAGGACAGTCAGAAGTAGGAGTAGCTTTGGTCCAGTCCAGTCCAGACTTTTGCAGGGTGCCTCAAAGTGGACATCAGTTGCCCAAGTCGGTGACATTTTAAAGTGTTATACAAATGTTACTGAGTTATTGATTTTGACAATATGCTTGGGATTCTCTGTTACTGCTTGTCTAGTTTTCAAAGACATTTTCAAGGTGAAAGGCCAGTAAGTTTTAAATTTGTTGTGTGTGTGCTCACGTGTGCTCATATGCTCATGCTTCGTGTATTAGATTCTTGCACCTTCTTTTATGGGCAGTGGTGTCAAATTTGTATTTAAATTCTGTTGGCTGCACAGAAAAAGTGTTAACTTGCCTGCTCTTGTTGTCATGTGAGAAAATGAGGTTTCAGTTTTTTGGATTGTAATAAGAAATTTTCAGACTGTTTGTCCATACAACCTGCGCATTTCACCATTGGTTTGTTTCTCTCTGTTTAACAGTGTCCCAACAAAGTGTCTTAACCTTATCATTGTGCACTGAGGGTTGCAACTCTAACACAAGGGCTTTGAGGCTGCCAAATGAGACCTTGCAACCAAAGCCTGTACATTTATGCTGAATTTATATCAAACTGTGAGCAGGCTCACATATCTAACAGTATATCAAACTGTAATGAGAAACTGTTATTATTCTTTACAGAATTTTTAGGTCAGTACTTGATTTAAAAAAGGACCACTAATGCAGTGCACAGGCAAACCTTTCAGAGAGTTTAAAGCTGTATCCACCAGCAGCAATATGAAACGATGTGATACTTCTCTGCTTTAAATACTGAAGTTTATATCACATGAAGCCTGGTCAGGTCAGCTATTTCCCAGGCAGGTAGCAGTGGGTACTTTGTTTGTCTTTTTAATTTCTTTGTTTGGATGCTTTTGTTTTTCAAAGTAATAGTTCCAGTGTTATCTGTTTGTCTAATACTTGATCTCACAGCAATAATGTACTGTGTATATAAACATGCATGTATCAAATTTAATTAAGGAAAGACTAAAATGAGGTTTTATTCCATCACATCAGCAGTTTCTCAGTAAAATCCATTGACACTTATTTGAGAGTAGCGCCATCTAGTGTTCAGTGGTAGAATAGATTCAAAGACCGAGATGCTTTTTGGGAAACTACTTCTGCTTGTTAATAGTTCTTCCTTTTATTCTTGGTTATGAATGTGCACATATTCAGAGACTTATACATGAGCAAATCCCATATCTCACTGTTTAAAACTGATATAAACCAGGAAGAAAAATTCATCTGAGTTTCTTCACATACTTTAGAGCTATTGGTGACTTTAGTGTTTTATTTAATTGCTATAAGGACTTTTTTTTTTTTTTTTGAGAAATGGAAGTTGAGCCATAATATAAAATACAAGGAACTACTGTATAGTCAAACATGTTTATGTTCTTACAATTATGACATTGTATGTAAACATCAGTTTTGGGTTTTGTTTTGTTTTTTTGCACTGACATTTGTTATTACAGACTTTGCTGTTCTTAATGGGTTTTTTTTATTTTTTTTTATGGAATTACAAATTAGTGCTAAAGTCTTTGGTCTAGGTTTGCAGACTCACTGTACATTCTTGTCTAACAACTTGGACCTTAGCTCCCACACAAGTATATTTTGGCTTGCTGGAGTATTCTGTCATGTGACCTGCCCACCAATTGTGGATCAGTACTCCTTTTATGGATCTGTTTGGCATCAGTGAGATTTGGGCTCAGACCAAAGCTTTTGTGCAGTTATGCAACTATGAGTTTTATAAAGAGACAAACCCGGGTTATCTGTTTTTTTTTTTTTTTCTCTCCTCTTTTCTGCAAAGACAATTCACAACTGCTTTCAGATATTTATTGCACACCCCACAGTATCATATAGTGTATATACCTCAATATCAAGGTGCTTAAATTAATTTTTTTAATTTATTCCTTTACACAAAGTACATTAGGGCACGAGATTTAAATTTAGACCTTTAGAAGTTCCTTAATATTAAATATGAAAGAACATTCCAACATAATCCACTGATTCAACGCCAGCATCCTACAGTACGTATAATATTCGTACTTCATATTTTATCTGCAGCCACCCTGATTTTTCTCCTGTTGGAATGGGTTAAACATACATTTTAGGTATAAGTGCACTCTTGTCTTCAACTTTGGTTGTTCTTGACAAAACAGTTAAAGGCTACAAGCGTCACAAGTTTTTATGTTTTTGCAGAAAGTTTCTGTACATTCATGTATCAAGTTGTGACAAATTGTCATTTTTACCCAGACAAAATGAACGGCTTGTCATAGATGTGGTTACTGGGAACACAAAATGCTGTCTGTACATTGACAGTATTGACTGATTTGCTATACACTGAGGAGAATGGATGAACAAATGCTGTGATTAGGTTTATATAAATTCAAAATAGAAGTAACGCCTGTAACCTAAAAACTTTAGTGCAAGGAGAAACCACATGCAACCTCAGCACAGACACAGTCCACCCGCTGAGGACGGGGTAGTAAGTAGCACAGCTACGCCCACACCGCTCGTATCGTTCATATCCTAAGTTGAGCCATGAGGTTGGAAAGGGAGGTAACGCTGTTCCTTAGTTTGGAGTCTTCTTCCTGTCCCAGTGACACTCCAGCTAGGCGTGTGGAACCGTTTACTCCCATAATGCACGGCAGACTGAGGAACACCTCTACAGCTATGCCACCCCAACCCTAAAGTAAACAGAAAAGGCTTTTTTTTAGAACAAGATAATCAATGACCTTTCCTACAATGCCCTGAAAGCATCACACACTCACACTCTCTCACACACACTCACTCACATTATTTGAATTAGTTGCTTCAATAACAAGCCACTTAGTGTTGCTACCTGAGCAAGTGTGGAGACAGAGTGCACCTTCCTCTTATCTGTCAGGACACTATTTGTAATGTCGGCGATAGAAAGGCCCACCGACCATGACCGCTGGCCTCGATTTTTCATGATCTCAAAGGCTCTGCAGGCACAAATTAAAATAAACAATTTTTTAAAAAGAAAAATATTTACTTAATTGATCAAAAATGCACTTATAATATTTTACAGTTATTATAACATTTTGTTCAAAGTTATAATAATTCATTCCAGTACCTGTCTAACAGTGGTTTGGTAGAGCTGGATCCTTGGGCAATCTCAGGTGATGCACTGGAGTTCAACCCAGAGTTACTCATCACAGCAACTGTGAGACAAAAACAGAAACGTAATTGTTTGGGTGACTGGTGTTTTTTTCCAAGTCCTTAGAATAGAAAGAAAGTACAAGTTGAACCGGTAGTGCAGCATTACTGCTTATGGTTGAAATGGTTGGGGGAAAAACACGTGAGGTGAATAAATGGGTTAAGACATATCTGTAAATGGAAAAACCGTCAGTGTACAGGTCAGGAACTCACTGAAGGAAAAAAAAAAAACCAACAAATATTTAAATAGTCAGTCCTTTCTTTCTGGCTCACTTTTTTTATCTGAAAGTTCTCCTATGACCCAGGCTGGTTTGTGTGTGTTCAGGTTGATATCCATGACATGACTGAGTCGCTCCGAGTCCAGGTTACACCCTGCTCCAATCACATGTGTTGGAGGCAAGCCACTCTGCCTCCAGGCAACGTGGGTCATTATGTCCACTGGAGAGAGAGAGTGAGTGACCGTACGTTATTTATATAATGAGCCGAGCAGTCAGTAGAAGGCGTGTCTGCTGCTGTTACCGACCTGGTTGTGATGCAATTAGCATCACTGCGCTAGGGCTGAGACGTGCCAGACTGGGAATTATTCCTCTGTACAAGTCAACGTTGGTCTGTACCACGGTGACATACGACTGTTCACTGCTCCATGCGTTTGCAGTCACCACGACCACCCTGGAGCCTGCAGAGGCTGAGATATCTAGCACAGCAGAGACAATGGTAATTAATTCCTGCAGACCTGTCACAGCAAAACTTGTAAAAGAAAAACACAAAGCTTAGGCATTGTTAATTCAGCAAACATTGACTGTGGCATTCCCATTCTTGTTCAAATGTTTTCTTTTTCCTCTTTCCTGATGAGTCATCAAATATGCTCTCTACACAAGCACAGTGCCAGTCCTCTCCCTTCTAATCAAACTGACATCACTGGTGACTCAGCAAAGAAGCATCTCTGGGTTATTTGATGGTGCAGTGTGACGTACCTCTGGATACTTCAACCTTTGGCAGACTGAAAATCTCCAGATCTGTACTGCCACCCTTGGTGGAACTCTCAGCGACATCAATGAAAACCAGTTTATCCACTTTACACTGGATGAAAAGCAAATAACAAGATAAACCACTTCTGAATAGTAAAATAGGAATTGCTAACATCTGAAGCTGGTGAAATAATAATTGTATGACATAACAGTTTATTAAAAAAAAATACAATAAAATCAGGTGATTACCTTGGATAAAATGCTCATCACTGATGCCATTCCTAAATCTCCTCCCCCAATAACTGAGACTTTGTTGATTGGTTGATCGTGATGGCTGATTCCACCTGAAATTTAGTAAAGCCATCACTATGAACTACTTGTCTCATTAGTGATCATCAGTTATAATAAAACTATATATTAGGAGTTGCACCATCACTGATACGGAAATTGGAGACAAACGCCAGGAGCTCATGGGGATCTTTCTTGTCTGTTGTGGTCTTTGAGGACAATGGAGGGTCTTCCTGAAATTTGGTAACCATCTCATTCAGAAGACCCACCACAGATGACTTTGGCTGTTACAGAGGAAACGAAACAGCAACATTTCAGCACCTTGTCCGCTTTTAATTTTAAATTTCAACCAGACAGTACAAGATCTTACATGATCCCAGTTGTGAAGGCCAGGTAGGTGGATACGTCCATGGGCATCAACGTGCTTGCCCTCTCTGATGACCATGTTAGAAGTGGGTTTCAAGTGGCATATGGGAGGAGTGAATGGGAAGGAGTCCAACAGCCACAGCTGAATGGGGAAGTTGTAGGAGCGACCTTTGGACAGAGACACCTCAGTCAGTACAAAATTATGACCTCATGCTCAAATTAGTGATGCTATTAAATTATACAACTCTTTCTATCAAAATTGGGAGGCAAGTGAGAAGAGTTTGGGTCAGCCACACCTTCATATTGGACCGGGATGGTGCCAGTTAATTTCAGAAGGTCTTTTTGGGTGCTGTCACTAAATGCTGAAATATCAGTAAAGATAGTATAAGTTTAATGTTCTTGTGTGCGAAGGTCAGCAGTAAATGGGTTTAATGTAAGAACTTACTGTATGTGCCTGTGGATAGCGTCATCCCAGGATAGATTCGATTGATTTTCTCCAACTCCTCAACAGCAACATCACGAAATTTGTACTAATATCAGGGGGCAGAGAAGGAAGACTTAACTGTTTCGTATTTGGGTTATATATTACACACATGAGGTATATTGTACCACATCAGTTCTCTACAGATTTGGGTCATTACAGTAATCTTTTATTTACATTAATTAATTTATTTGTGGCTGTAAGAACATTTGTCATCGTACATTTATTCTGACAACAAAACACCCAACAATTACTTTTATATTGACATTTTCTTGAAGGGTCCAACAGGTCATTGCGTATTGCTGTATTCCACACCTACAATGGAAATGCTCATTGGCACAAACAACAATAAGTGAAGCACAATAATACTGCAGTCCACGCAAAGTTAGACACGAGTAGAAAGCAGCTCAGTTTAGCACTTTTTAATTGCCCTTCCTGTCTCATTACTATTTTAAATAGGTTACCATTCTGTTCTTTTTTCCCGTCTCAGTGCCATCCAGGTTTCTCTCAGACTTCAGTAACAGAGCTGGTTCGGCTAGTTAGTGAAGGGAGACAGCAGCTAACCTAGCCTGCTATACTACCCGGCAATTATGTTTTGAGTTTTAACTTAAGAGGATCTTTCGAAGCAGCTCGTAATAAATCACTAACCTTCGAAAGAATCCGCTGGATTTTCTCTGACGTGAGGTCCATCTATTAAAGCACGACTCCCCGAAAGAAAATAAAAAATAATCCTCGTTTCTTTTGATTTCCACCAGACTGAGACTTTGCTTCCACTTGAACTCTAAAAAACAAACTTCCGCAAACTTTAAGGAGTAGTCAGGCGACACAGGGCGACGGATCCCGCCCACTTGTGACATCAACTACGGCAAAGTGGCAGGTACAAAAACATATGTAACGCCATTACCACACTGTATGAGCACAACCTTACATACTGACCATGCCAGTTTCTTTAAATAAAATAAACAAAAATACTCGACACAATTTAGGGAAGGAAATCGTTTTTGCTCTCTCTTCCACAGAAATACAAAGCAAAACATTGACTACCTGCTGCATTGCATTTGCAGTCCAAAAAAAGCTTTAGATTGTCATACTCTGAAAATGCAGACATAAAACTAAACAAAAGCCTTAATGCATTATTGTCAGTCAGATCCTTGCAAAGATAAAACAAAGTATCAAATGGTAATGTCGTCTACATTTTACTGAGTTTACAATAAAAGTCTGGAAAAATATGCAACAACTTCGCCTCAAAAATAGCATGTCATCATTTATATAACATTTCATGTTAGCGTTTTGTTTTGTTTGTTTGTTTTTTTAAAAAAGAGGAAAAAGAAAGAAGAAAGAAAGAAATCAATCACACTTTTCCATTACTGTAGTTGTTGATACCAATCTTTTTTGTTTGTTTTTTTAAACAGATGGGACTGTAGGTATCCCTGCACTCAGCAGGTAAAATAAATAAGAAAGGACAATGTGAGAACTTTAAT